ATGGCAATGTTTTAAGTTCTTCAGCTGTCAGGCATGTTGGTCCTTATAGTTGCTAGCAGGACTTGCAGGAATCGACTTTTTGTGTACCTCTGATGGTCATGTCTTTCTCTAAACGCTTACTAGCTGTAGAGAGTACTTGATGCCAGTCGCCGAACATCTGTCCCGTTCAATGTGCTTGTAATGATCTGTGGATCGGCACCATGAAGGTGGTTGCTATTCTTGACCGCCCATCACACTCTTGATTCTGTGATGACTCAAACGGTCTGTTGATTCTGGCAGACTTGATTGCATTTGGGTTTAAGCTTCGAATTTGGCAACTCGGAGGCTGGATGTCTTTTGATGAATCTTATCCCCGGCAGCGATCGACCTCGACACCCGGAGAGACGAAGCAAGGATTACGGCAAACCAGATGGACTCTGATCATCAATTCGAGTGGCAAGAATAAAGAGTGCCTTGTAGCTTCTCAGCTTAAGAGGGTGATATGCATCATCCAGCGTTCTCCAACAAGACATGTACGCACAAGAAGATACAGCACTCGTTAACAGCACGATAAGTGCGCTATAGACTTCTCGTATCGGAAGCAGTCTTACCACTTGCAGTTAAAGTGTTCGAATTGTCACGTGACCTGTTCCGCTCTTATCCAGATGGCTCGGTGCCTTCGATCTCTCCAATACAATAATGCGGTGCTGATGATCTTGAATCATGCGCACGTTACGAGTGGTGTGGCAGAAGCAGATAGACCCTCTGATCAGCGCTGATCGTCATCACTTGGCGTTCAAGGGCCATATACAAGATCAACAAAGCCCTGTGGACAGTTTTGAAGCGCGATCGAGGCGCTCGGCTGATCTGATATGACTTGTCGCACAAAATCATTGGGCCATGGCTGCAGTAGCGTGCCTGATGTGTGCTTAATAAAGAAATAACGCGGCATCAATTAGCCCTCAGGTGTTCTGAGGCCATATGCCACGCTAATGGAGTCCCTGTAGCATTGGCAGAAGTCGACCCGACCCACCTTGCAGCAACTCAGACTGCTTATTTTTTCCTTGGTGGTGTTTCAGGGTCAGCAAGCAGTATGCCCTAAAGCTTGAAGACGATGATTTGCTATTCGACGATGGATTTTGAAGTCACCTGAAGATAAAGCTTATCCTTTGAAGTATCTCATCAGTGTCATACAAAGACTTTCTGCAATGGCCGGAGGACCAGGCTATTGCTGGGACTGGCTGTGTGCCTTCCGTTGCCAGCCAGCTTGTGAGCTCTCTCGCATTCTTTGACTTCCGGAAATCCCTGATCTTGTCTCTGGTCTCCATACTAGATCAATGCTGTCTTGATTTGTGGTTCATGATGCTTCGCAACACTTCCTAGGTATCAGAGAGATACCGTGTTCGTACTTCGTTCCTTGAATCGTCAAGGACGCCGTTGGTTGCCATCTATATGGCCAGCGAGGAACGTCTCTTCTGCTCAGCTGATGTGCGCCTTTTCGAGATTCGTTGCTACATGGAATAAAATGAGTCTTCGCTGGAAGTTTCGCTCAGTCCACGGGATTCTATCACTAGATACGCTGACATGTGGAGTGGTTCAAGGATGCACTGTGTTTGTTCTTTGATGTCGCGTACGTATCGTCTCCAGAGTTCTGCCAGGTTCATGGCACTGGAACTTCAGCTTACCATAATTCAACCTACGTGTGGTATGCTTGGTGGCAGATGTAAAGCTGTCGTAGGCTAGCCGAAGTGATTTGGACCTCGTCACGCGTTTCAGTAGGAGTCCTAAATCATCTCGCACAAAGCTTAGGGTATTGGTCACCACAAGGTGGTATTGGCTGTCACTAACTCATGTATGATGATCTGCAAACCTATCTAGGTAACGATGACTAAGAAGTCAAGTTTGGCTTGCTTCAAATTTCGATCTTTCAGTACAGAATCATGTATGATTTACCCTAAAAGCTTGGCCAGCCTCCTTAGACTAGGCTCAACCCACCACTTGGGTTAAGCATCGCAGCCCTAATGGCATACTAACCTTACATGACTGGCAGATATAATACTCAACCCACCACTTGGGTTAAGCATCGCAGCCCTAATGGCATACTAACCTTACATGACTGGCAGATATAATACTCAACCCACCACTTGGGTTAAGCATCGCAGCCCTAATGGCATACTAACCTTACATGACTGGCAGATATAATACTCACTTTCGAAATACGTACAAGGTCATGCGATACAAAGTGAAGATAGAATCATGGATGTGATCCACAGATTTGCTTGTGCACCATGCCATGATGGCTTCTTCTATGCAGCAATATTTTTCTCGTGCGTCCTACAAAAGCACGACGACAAGCTCAAGTCGGGCCTACCCTCTTAACAAAATCAGCAAATCTATGGATTGAGGCCGTTCATTTTGCTACACAACTAGTTGACTAATAAGGTCTTCTGCATTTCGTTACAATACTGATCTAGCTTGCAACCCCATGTACGCTATTGTTATGTCAAGACGCTTAGAGAAAGTTATTTGCATCATTGTCCTCATTCGTTGCATCGAGCTATATCCATTGTTCATCCCGATTATGAATTGACTAAGCTTTTGACTCTTTCCATCTTGTTGATGTATGTGTCATGTAGAAGCCTGCAGATAGTCACTCAGCATGAACGACCTCATCATGATACAGAAGGGCGTTCCATCGTGGTCCATAAGAGACCGCATATGCTTTGGTACTAGGGTCGCATGTCTCATATTTCCCGTACCCCGAAAATTTAGTTTACACGATCGAGAAGAGGACATTCTATTGTTTCTAGCAGCTCTGACCTCTTGATTCTGTACCCATACAAGCTATTTTTTCAGCTGGGTAAGCTTCGTGATCATTGGAAGTTGATTCTACGATCTTGCTTCTCGAACTGTGGATTAACATCATCACATACAGGGTCGAAGACCGAAGCTGTTTCTGAGGTTTTGGCAGCACTCTCCAAGCACGGTTAGCCGCTGAGAGCTCCAGAAGTAACAGCTGCTCATGGTACTAGGGTCATTTGTCCCATGCTGCGTTCAACTGCACTCTAACCTCACTGGCTCGATGAGCAAATGAGTCATACATTCTGTACTGTCTAAATGACCGTGGCGCGATGCGGCAGGTAAGACTCAGTCACGCTGTAAGCAATGAATCAGATAACGAAAAGTTTATTGTATTAAATCAAAGGGCACAACTTACAGCTTCTGGACCAGAAGAGCAGTTACAACAGCCTTTGAGAAGGGGGATCGTTGAGCTTCGGCGAATAGAGGGTTCAGTCGAGCAATATGCTGAAAGGGCAATTGCCTTGCTACCTGACGTCGACAATGAGAGTGCAGCACTGTTCAAGTGGTTACATGCATCTGCATGTTTGCAGCACACTGAACTCGTTTCAAATGAATATCGACATTCAGTGGTCGCGCTTCTTCTATAGAAATGAGGTAGAACTCGACCTCGATTATGTTACGTTCATAGCCGGTTGGATGTTCGAGCGGTGCAAAAATTTTCATACAGTTCATGGCAATCTAGACGACTCATCAAGATGTAAAAGATCATTTCCGAATGTCAAGCATGCAAAATCAGAATCAGCATCGAGGGAGGGGGATGCATCTCAGTGATTTGATTAGGCGCTCTCATCAGGAGGATCGTTTAGGTGCACTCAAGCAGGGGCAATCATGCTAATTAGATGCAGAACACCTTTATAGCATTGTTCAATCACAAGGGTCACGGGCAATCCTTATTAACCATCTCTAGTTTGCATTTGTCACTTTCTTCTTACACTTAGAGGCCCGCTGCTCTTACTTCCTAGAGGGAAGCAGTTGGCAAACACGTAGTGGTGATCGAACTCGCTAAGCATCTAGAACCCCAGGTGAACATGCCGATGCAGTCCTTAGCATCGTTGGTAGCGATGTCTAGAAATCGACGCTGTTGAGATTATGTGCATCTTCAGCGCGCGTGGATTATACGCTAGCAAGAGACGAGGAATACTAAATAGACATAAGGATGATTCGGGTAGAAGAATCAGCATAGCTAACGGCTGTTTGGGTTGCCATAACTTCGACAAACCTTACGACTAATGCTTCAGTTCAAGTCCTGTATCTGCCATTTTCCAAGAGATTCCGCGAAGTAACAAGCATTTATGTAGGATCAATTACCGCAATCAAACGTTGTATCGACCTGCAAATGTAACCTAGACTAGAAGATTGTATATTGCTGCCTTAAGACCAAGTGCTGCTAGTAAGACATAGTGGCAAAACTGGAACGTTCCCTTATATGTCTATTGCACTTATGAAAGAATTATTAGAGATCGTGTTTACATAGTCAGTAACAAGTGCGCTATGTACACCCTTTGGCACAAACTCGAGTCATTGCTATCCCATAAGAAATCTCAATACTAGGTGGATTTCAACAGACATTCCTTCAAGCTTCGAACCTCGCTACACGTGGAGGAGACAGCTGTTTGATAGACGAGGGAAAGAGACGAAATCGAAACAGCGATTGCATCAAAGCCAATAGCAGACCCCGATGCAGTTAGAACAGAAAATATATCGACTGCCGCTGATATTCTCACCGATATCACCTCATTTCGCAACCGAATGTCGATGAGAGGCCAGGACCGGTCACTTCCGCTCCCAGCGCCAAGCACGGCTGCAAATATTGTGTGAGCTGTTACTTCAGCATCAACATCAATGGTGCCTAAGCAAACCTCGCGCCTGCGGTGCTGTATGATCGGCTTGATTGACAACGTCACAACCTCATCTTCATTTCTCTGAGCTACGGCTGCCGCCTCGATGTAACAGCCGACCACTCGCAGCAGCACTCGCAGCAGCACTGCTATTCCTCGCATCAAATTTGTCTGAGAGGTCACCCTGGCAGGATTCGAGCGCAGATTCTTGATAGGTGTAGAGGAGGGTCACAACCTGAAGGGCTTGATTGACATTCGCCGACAAGCGTTATGGTAGCGGATCAGCCAGTGAGTGAGAATTTGAAAGAGTAAACATCTTGAATGCCTTCTTCTACAAGTCAGACCAACATAAAGGACGCAGTCACAGAACATATGGCATTGGAAGAACAGAGACTCACCAGCCGTTACTCAACAGCACTCGACTTCAAATCTTCGAGACTCAGGTATCACGGTGGCAACTGCAGCGGTGGTAGACAGAAATCGATACGACGGGAGTCTGATGTTCTTAGCTTTGATGAGATAGATCCAAGTGTCTTTAGTCAGGCTTTGTGTCTCAGGCATATTAACGTGGCAAGAGCTGATATTGGTTTGCACAAGTTCCCCGGCACGAGCGCTGACAGACAAATCGAGACTCAGATCGTAGGTTGAGGATGTTTCCATGCGGCAAACACAAAGAGGCCATTGTTGTAAAGAGTTGCGGCACGGCAGAAGAAAACGATCGCTCAGAGTCTCCAGGATCCGTGTATAGGAATACGACAAAGATGCCATAAGTATTCCGCTTGAGACACAGATCAGGAAAAGATGGAAATCGAGGAGCTAGAGAGCCGCTTGGTGGTCGATGCGATCTTCCTGTCCCTATCCATATATGCCAGGTTTCTGAGTGAGATCTCTCAATCGTCCCTCATCCTTGCGAGCTGTTCTTCGGTCTCTTTGACCCTTGCATTCAAGTTGTAAAACAAGCCATACAAGCCATTCCATGTCGAGACCTTACTGTTTAACTCTTGGAGTTGTGCTCGAAACCCTGCCTCCTTGTATGTCTCGATACTCGAGATAAGGGCCGCAGTCCTCAGCGATAAGTCTACTCGTTTCAGTTTCGAGTCAAAACCTTGAAGGATGATGTTTGCAAAGGAGCTTCAACGAACCTGATTCCTGACCATCGCTACTAGTTGCTATGGAGGTGCCATCCCACCATGGCGCAAACGGGCATTGCCACTTGGACTATGTTCCCAAAAGCTTGCAGTATTTCTCAGAGTCAGTTGTGCCATCTGAATCTTGTTTGACCTTTAATCTTTGGCCCCTCTCGCTTTCAACATCGCTTCGTATGCTGTTTGCTTTTCCGTCTTCCAAGCAACGATCTGCTGATTGATCTCTTGCTTTCGTACGATCCCGTCAGCACTATCGTTCTCCTCTTACTTCAATTGGTCTTGCTATCCAACGAGCTCAAGCTGTTTCTTTGCCAGTGCCGCGGCCTGCTCTTGTGATTTCTTGACGAGCTTGTTTCGTACCTCGAGATTTTTGTTCAAGACCGTCAGCCAGTCTTCCAGGTACGGTTCGTGGGTACCAATGAACGAATTCGTAAGTCAATGCTCTATCGCGTCCTTAGAACTTTGTGTACCTTCTTCTGCAATTAACATCGCTATGTGCTCTAGTTCACAATGCTCGATGAGAGCAGCCGACAACGGTGCTTGGGAACTCTCTAATTAGAAGCTCTGGATAAGGAGGGACGGAAGGACGGAGATCGTGAAAAGATACCAGCCACTTTCTATATTTTCGATATCGTGCCTTACTTTTCAACGAAATTCATTTCCTGGAACATGCAGCGTGCATCGCCATGATTAGAACCACGGGACTGCATGCAGTCTTAGTTTTGTGTTAGTCTTGGTAAGAGTGCGCACGAAATAATGCGTTGCAGGGTATGTCTTCCGAGCAGGAAGTGTTGCACTCGAAAACATGGAGCTACACACAAAACGACAGTCATTGCGTCTGAGTCTCCGTCAATGTTGCGCACGAATGACCCATTGCAGTCAAGTCATTACATACAGCTCTCGAGGTTGTGTCCTATTGGCCAACGATTCCTAATAAAATATGGCAAGGTGACATGCACAAGGTATGCATGTTTCCGCATCGATTCTGCCACGCAAGTTTCAGGTTACACAGGCGCTTGCATGTTTCATGGGAAGGACGGTGACAAGATACGGCCGCATAATGTGATCAAACATGCTGAGTAGTGCTTGCGTGTCCGACATTGTCTAACGTCGTCTAGTAGATAAAGTGATCAATTTGGCTGGGCAATAGGCCTGTATCTGACAAGAAAACTGGAACAACGATACTGTTGCTTAAATTCGACATGGATTTGATGTGAGTTCAACAATGGCGTGAAGACAAAGGGGATACAAATCACAACATCTTCCTCAGACTCGCCTTCTTATGATGGTCGAATGCAACCGTCCACAACCAAGGATTCAGTCTTTGCACCAGATAAAACTAACATCCCTCCAAGGTCATGGCACCTTGTTTGTCACGTTTCAGGCGTCCTTTGCAATGTTGTCGAGTTCTGGATGTTTTGATTCTTCAAGATGAACAGACAGCAAAAGGGATGTTGCGGGCAAATCAACCATTAGATGCTCCTTCTTCTTCTTTGAGTCAAGTATCTCCTGCCAACCTGGACCATGGACAGACTGGGTCGGATTGGGCCGTACATCACTCGTCTTGAGATTTGAGTGAAGCTTTCCTGCCAAGCTTTCCTGCCAAGCTTCCTCTTACAATTTAGATCAACAGGCAGATCTTAGGTCGCAAGCCACTAGGCTTGACGTTGAATGGAGATTTTCGGGTGTTGCCTTAAAATGAAGTTCCCCAGCCGGCTCTACTCGTTGGGCTGCCAACAATAGAGGAAAAAACTTCCTGAGGCGGGGCGTAATACAATAGAACTAAGCCCTGCATCAGGGGCATGACCTTTAGGGAAGTGGTCAAGTGGCAGAAGTCTCGATAAAGCGATGGACCAGCCAGCGTAGGTGATTTCGAGTTTGGAGAGTCAGTCCCATCGACTATCAAAAGTTCTGGTGTTGTATGATAGTTTGGCCCGAACAACTTCGACAAGCGGTTGGCAGTATTCGCAACAACTCTGAAGCTTGGCGGTGTCGGTTTTCTATCATAGGCTTTTTCTCCAGCAGTCACTCAAGCGACTCCAAGTTCTCTATGTTCAACACTTTCTTGTAAGTAACTAATGTAATCTGTCAGAGGTCAAGGACTTCGAGTCGGTATCCACCACAACGAATGTAGCGATGCTCTTGTTGCCCTTGTCAGATATGCCAGATGCAGAATTTGTCTCGAGACTGAGACTAGAGCCTGTCACTGTGAGAGACTTGGATTGAGCGGTGCGCTCATTCTTTATGTCTGTGAAAGGCCTGCCAGTAACATGGTCTGTGTTCGCACCTTGATGAAGGCCTATGGCTGTCAGAGGCGCAGACGAGGGCATGGGCATAGATTTACACCATTGTTAGACTGACGCACGATCGCGCTGCTGCACCAGCTCTATCACTAGCTCTTTGGCCTCGCTCGGCGTGGATTGACTCCCAACCTAGGCAGTGAGACTATATACTCAGTCACCGCGGTCTCATTTTTAGGAGTCAACTTCTGCTGCTTCTGTTACGCAGGGACCTTGTGTTTGCAGCCCTTCCACTGGTGGGCCAGAGTTGAGACCGGCTGGTGCGGGCGTTTGCTGGGTGACATCCCAATTCTTGTCGAGATGATACGTCTTCTTTTCAAGAGCTCGATCACCTCCTTCAATTTGCTTCTCGAGCCTCAGGATCTTGCGATTGGGCGCCAGGTTTCTGACAATCGAGATATGGGGCGATTTTGGTGATCGACACGCCTTGATTCTGACGTGGCTCTTTCTCTCGCAAGACTGGAAGCAGGTTTCATTGGAGCAAGGAGCTACGAACATTCATGCCCTCAACGGAAGCAACAAAGACGCCATATTCTGGGTTGGAAGTGGGAAGCAGTCGATGATGAAGCATTCTCAAGGTATGTATCGAGGTTGCGGAGTGTTTTCTGGCCTGGTCTCTTGACCCCTCTTCGATAGTCCTATGGAAAGAGAGATTGTGGTAGCCAAGAGGCTCTTGCCATCGTGACAAGCAAAGAGACAAAGTAGTTGGTCCGATGGAACGACAAGGACTGGATCAATGGTTGTTGAAACGGCATCGGTGATCGTGGCTGTGCGTTTTTCTCGACCTTTGAGCAGGAGGCACGGCAACGCTTAGAATGTGATTCAGTGTCATCGACTACAAGAGCGAGTTTGTTGCTATCTTGACTAACCCTCTTCCTTGGTCTTGCTGGTCGGCGGTTGTCATCCAGACAAGCAAATGGCGCGCGCATAGCAGATACATGGTGAGGCGCAGTCGTTAAGTCAGAGGAGCTGCTTCTTCGTGGGTGGTGGAGATGGGCAAAGCGCTGTCCTCATTGGCGTCCGGACCCTTTTCGTCGTCGACCTCAAGGCTGCAGTGGCTGCCTGGCTGTCTCGCATCGCATCATCTTTGTCAAGAATGTGACTGGACTCGTCCTTGTGGGTGTGTAGGGCATTATTGCTCGCAAGCAGCCTCGCAGCGGTTCAAGGCTTGGCGGACTTCTATCACCTCGGTAGAATCTCGCAACTCGGAGCCCGCTTCAGCTCATCACTTACCTGACCTATTTATCATCCTTGCCAGGCTACATGTATCCGACTCAAGCAGCCGCCGTCAGCGACTACTCACGATGGCTGCCACCGTTCCATCTGGAAAACGAGAATTCATAGTCGGTGTTGACTTCGGCACCACGACTTCTGTGCTCGCTTTCGCAGAGAAGCCCAAACCCGGTGTTGACTTTGATCATAATTCGATCAAACTCGTCACGACGCAAGTCAAGTCATCTTACCATCTGGCGTCACTCACTAACGAACAATCCATGTAGACATGCTGGTCACTCGAACAAAGCTGTCGTTCCATCGAAGATCAGCTACCTGAGCCCCCGAAGCGAGAACGACGCTGCTGAAACGACACGTACCAAAATCCAAATCGGGTCCCGCATCCAACCAGGGGATGAAAATTGCCTGTACTACCTGAAACTTCTGCTCGCCAAAGACGCTCTCGCCGAAGAAGCACCAACCAAGAATGGGAATGGAATGGAGGTGGATAAAGAATCAACAGGACTCTCTCAACTCTTGCAAGGGCAGGCTGAATTATTCTCACGTCTCGAAGCCACATTACAACAAGCTGGGGTGACTGTCACAAACGCCATCGGGCATTTTTTTCACGAGCTTAGAGAGGGCCTTCTTGAGCAGCTGAAACAAACATATGGCCTACAACCCTCAGAAGCACAGTTCGAATTTGTTTTCACTGTCCCGGCCACATGGCCAGATACAGCTGTCGATCGGACGCTTGAAGCCGCTAAACAAGCACGCTTGGAGCCAGTACTACGAACAATCTCTGAACCAGAAGCTGCCGTCCACTGCATCGCCGACGAAAAATGTTCCAAAGGTCTGCTTACATCCCAACAGGTCTGCATAACTATTGATGCCGGTGGAGGCACCATCGATGTGATCTCCTACACCGTCAAAATGATCGGAGACGAACTCGAGATGCGGGAAGCAGCTATGGGCCAAAGTCAGTATGGTGGCGGTGCTTCCGTCGATGCGAGTTTGCTTGATCTTGTCAAGCAGAAGCTGGAAAATCACACAGAAATTTTATCGGACGTGCATAATGAACACAACATCAACCAGCGTCTACAAGAGATCAAGGAGAACTTTGACGTCAAGACTACTGACGACCAAAAAGTTCATGTTGGCCTCAACAAGGAAGTTTTTCTCAAACCACATGAAATCCGTGCGGTGTTTGACAACCAAGTGGCCATTATCAAGTCTTTAGTGAGCGAGCAGCGCAAACTCCTCTCAAAGCTTGGCGAAACTCCCTATATGTTGTTCTTGTCTGGTGGACTTGGCTCGAATCGATACATCCAAGCGGCGCTAATCGCAGAATACGGAAAAATGACAAAGCACGTCTTGAACAGTGAGACACCTCAGCACGCCGTCGCCCAAGGAGCTGTTTTAGCTGGCGTTAAATTGCTCACCATGAAGTCGCGAAAATCCAGACACCGTGTTGGAATGTGTACTCGAGCGTCGCTATTGAAAGGCAACCGTGGCAGGCAGACGATAGATCTCGACGATCCAGTGCTTGGCCCGATGAGGCACAGTATCCGGTGGTTCCTCGAGATACGTGACGATCTCCCAACAGAGGGCGTCAGCCACCATTTTGATATAAGCTTCTGGCGAGACAATCCACTTTCTACGAGCCAGGAGATCTTTTTTGTGACCAACAAGGACAAAATACCTCCCAAGAATAAAGAGGAGGCACAAGCTCGAGGGAGCAAGATCTATCGAGCTACAATGGATCTCACTAAATATGACGAACATTGTATATACCATGACTCAAACAAGACGAAGGGTGTGCTTGAGATCCAGGCTCGCGTGCGTCACGACGGTGCACGTTTTCATTTCGAATTCCTGATCAACAACGAGATCATCACTGTCATCACCCAAAAGTATCCCACGCTGGATGAGAGAATCCTGGATATCGATGCAGTGCCTGCTTCCACGCCGACTGAGGCAATCGCACGCTTGTTAGATGCCGATCGGGAAGAAGTGGTATCCTCGCCCACAACGTCAGATGTTGTCTCCGAGAGCGCTGAAGCGACAGCAAAGACTCAATCAGCTGCCAGTGTTGCCGTTCAGCAACTACAACACATGAAGCGCAAACGACATGAAGGAGGCTCAGGGGACGCTAGTCACATGACCAAACGTTCAAGGCTTGCGTCGAAAGAATCGGGACAGGAACCAGAACAGAGGACGGACACTGGTGGCGGAGACAGTGACGATGCTAGCACAGAGGTCGAACCGACTGCAGATTCTCAGTCTTCAGCCGAGAAAACTTCTTCAGAATCATTCGCAGTCCGTCCTACCCGGCAGGCAAATGTTGAAGGTAGAGCGGTCACAACACCGATTATTAGGTCCGGAGCTGGGAATGAAGAAGCCTCACCACACATTCGGAATGCTAATGCGCCTGGAACCCCGATGTCGACAATCCAGGACAACAGTACTATCTCCTCTGCTCCTAGATCAGTAAGCCATGTACAACAGAAGGTGAAGTGTATAGTGACGCTAACAGATCTCGATAGTCTGCACAGAGTAGCACGTCGCGGTACGGTCGCACGATAAAACGCAAACGCCTCTCTAATACCGGAGGGCTGCTTACCTGACATACCGCGTCTGATTGGGCATAAAGTATCGCTTTATCATTGCAAGCAAGCATCCTCATCCCAATTTTCCACGTAAGAAATGGAACAAGCTTATCTAAGTAGTCCGAAGAAAGTTCAAATGCTCGATAGCTGAGAACCAGAGGCGTTACGAGTTTCTCAGACCGGATTTAAATGTGTTTGTTTTTTGGCCTGTTTGGAGGTAAAGTTGCCCGTCGCACACCCCCCAATGTAGCCAAAGCTCGCACAAGTACAAGCTATTCTCTCCGGATCTGCGGTGCTCCTTTCAGTATAATTAGTGTACCGATAGCTTGAGTATTAATTCGACTGTTGCCGATGTCGTTCTATCATACCGATTCAGGCAAGCTTTATGAACTGACACACGCTAGGCGTGAGATCGCTCTGACCAGCATCAATTCAGGTGGCCTGCAAGAGCTCGCTGGTTGCTGAATACTACGCCAGGCGTGGCCTCACTACCCGGCGCCTTCTGGATGGCACCGCTACCTCCGAGATCAAGAATTCTCGTTCGCAGATGATCTCTTATGGACAGCAGCTCAGGGTGCAGACCCAGAACTAGAAATGAGCTCAGGGCCAGAAGAATCGTACTTCAGCAGATCAGCATATCGCCGATAATCCTGTCCCGGACGGCTCGAGCCAGGCTTCATCCAGAGTCACTAGCGACCTTCGAATCTCGTCTCCGCATATCTCGTGCAGACGACCTCCACCGTCGATTGGGCTCAGGTCAACATCCATGATATTGAAACCGATACCAATACCATGAGCAGGCTAGACTGTTGTTCGTAGGATTTCCTCCGCCAGTACGAGTACGTAGAACTTGTTCGATTCTCCGTCCCGTGGCACTGACGAGCTCGGCAAACAGGTGGATCGATTCGTCGACACTAATACAAGCAGAACCCCAACACGTCGTACAGTACCACCTAGATAGAACGATCGTACAAAATCACGAGTTTTGATCTCTATACCGAGTAGGAGCGATACATGACTCGACCAGGCTAAGCGTCGAGCTGATCGGCGTTTTTTCCATCGTTGTAACGCAGGTCCGTGGATCTATCTCTGGTCCATGTCCATTGACTCAATAAACTCAATACCCTCATGCCACAGCCGGATATCGATGACCCGGACGCCACACATACATACCGCGCGCATTACATCAGGGACCCAGCTCCACAATCTCGATCATCAGCGCTCTGTGCAGCTTGCACTCTACCTGGCGCCGATCATCTAGATCTACTGCTGTGGCCTTTCTCAAATCACCCTTTGTCCCACGATTCTGTTACCATCTTAACTCCAGCCTTTCTCATGAATCTCGTGCCACCAGTGCATTGAGCCACCAGCTCAGTGTTCAATCTTCACCATTATCGCGATAACATCTCAAATCTCAGTCAACACCTTTGGAGATACAGCTTTTCTTGCAAGCCTAGAGCAAAGAGGGAAGAACTTTGTGACGCCCATTGCTTTGTCAGAGAGATGGTCACCAGTCCGAACTCTCGAAAACATCTTGTGCATCATATTTCCTCCAGCACGTCCTTCAGACTTTGAGTGCCTGTTTTTCAAACATGTTCACGGCGACTATGACTCCTTGTCATCTCAAACAGGCTCAACAGATCTGGAAGATCCTTGAACCAGGGCCCATTTTCAAGCTGCTCACAGAGTTGACGTGGATCATCTAGGAGCTTCTGCCTGTCGCAGACAAGTGTGACTTGAGAAGAACCACCAGGTTGATGTGCGCTGTGCCCCTCGCTCAAACCTTGTCTTCGAAATGGAAGTTTGAATTGACGGAGTCGAGCCTAGGATGTCTGGTCGACTTGAACAGTGACAGAGACTTTGTGGTCTGCTCTAAATGTATCAGCTGTTCCAACGAGTTGGCTCAATGTTGTGTACACTATCATGCGCCCCCAGATCTCGCACACAATGGGTGAGTGTGACAGCACCTCGACCTTCTGCTCGGAGGTCGTCACACCGAAGCACTTTTCAGAGCTTGGGACAATCTTCGAGCAAGCGGAACAACGGCTAACATTCTTAAAATTCATGGTGACTGGAGGCCCAATTTGTCCGGGACTAGGACAGCCTTTGCTGCTGATGGATCATTCTTGAGCTGCGTGAGTAATGATGACCACAAGAACAGGGATGTCCGCCACATCTTCAACTCTCGGGAATGGTATAGGCTCCACGATGCTCGCGGTATAACAAATCTGCCTTGATCTTTATAACCTTCGTACGATATCTATGAGAGTCATGTTGTAGGTCGGTCCAGCTAGACAATAAAGCAGATTGGCGCCTGGGCTGCACCGAGACAGAGTCCATACTATGCCTGGGACGTGGAAGAAAGATCAGGTCGATGTGATAGCACTATCGAAGTTTGTCTGGAATGCTGCGTGCTAGCTTTCTATCCTCCACAAGCTACTGTTCATGTGCTATAATTCTCTCAAAGCTGTCTGGCCAAATGACTGCTAGAGCCTCCACTTCAAGGGCATTGAGATGCTTGCAGTCTTAGACAACGGCTTTATGAATTTCCTCAGCGAGTTCGACCAAACGCATCGGCATTGCTTCGCAGCTGTGATGTCTCACAATGTCTTCTTCGTGTTTGAGCCTCTCGAGTGAGGACCAATTGGCTGAGCCTCGCTTCACGGCCAACATAACGCACGCGGTTCTTTTCGACATCTTCCACCAGTCAAGCATTATTTTCTTCGCTTCTTTCTTTCGGAGAAAGTCGATCAAAGTTTTCCTGGTGACAGAATTCACGCCGCTGACCGTCTTGCTCAACTGTTGAGTGCGATGAAGAGAAAAAGCAGTCGATGAGCAGCTTACAGACTTCATCTTCTGGTCGATTGTGAAGCCAGGTAAGGTCATCAAGCTCGTGATAGCGCCCATCAGCTTTCTCCAAATGACCTTCTGTTAAAGTGATGTTTGTAGCGTCGATTGGAGCCAGCGGGGGTTGGTAGTTGTCAATCGTGTCTCTTCTTGGGCGTTTTTGCTTATAACTCTCTGAGCTAAAGTTCTTTGCCAGCCAACGCTATGCTTCATGCTGCTTGCGAGCATTCCACTAAATCTCACATATCATGTGGTATTCGAAAGACCTTTGGTGGCGCAACACTCGATTCACCCTACCTAGTGGTCAATGTTTCTAGAGAAACACATCGAATGAGGAAGGGACGATCGGTAACAAAAGCAATTCCAAAAGGCAGTCCCATACATATATGTACCGTCGCACATCAAGTAAAGCATTTAGACATGTACAGGAAAGTCCTGCGCTCGGTGTTTAGCGCGCATACTCATCTGCAAGAGTCATGCGCTCAGATCTGTCAGCACTCAGACTGCAATTCCAGTTCCCTCTTGAGTGATGGAACATTAGAGTGATGCTGGCTGTCGACAGTGGTGACGGGATGGTGAAGGACTGGGCTTTGTGCCGGCAAACCATGTGCAGGGTGTTGCCCCGTTCGTTGAATAGTGTGCAGCTTGCCGACTGCCTCTATCGACCTTGGTAACACCTGCGCACCGCTGCAATTCTTGGAAATGCAGGCACATTGACGTGCGCGCTGTCTAATGATTGTAAGATGGCTCTGTGTTGTTTGGAAAGGGGTTGCATTACACTAACTTTTCTGGGAGGCTTGGCAGCCGATGGCTCGTCATCACATCCCTTGACCTGTCACATTTGTTAGAGCGCTACGCACCAGATCTATACACACAGACTATTCAACCTTACCGACTGTTCTCGCAGGAGATTTGCAGCATACAATCTGTATATCAATATAGTCAGGGTGTTCGAAACTCGTTGAGTAGTGAGCACATGCGTGCGCCCGCATATACAAGGATCGCAGCGAATAGTGTGTGTCATCAAGCTTGGGATGAGCTGTCTGCGAGCTGCGCACTATTAAGCACTCACACAGTCGACTGTCCAGAGTGTTCTCTAGACGCCTGATCGCTCGACTCCAGTGGTCCGCCAAACACACTTACAGATGAAAGATGAAGTTTAGAAGTCAAGGCGGATAAGGGCTGGGAATGAGAAATTTGATGAAGAGGTCAGACATGATTGGTGATTGCATATGCGAGGAGATAGACAGTGTCCTTGTACACCATGTCCCCAAGGTCAGTCTTGTCGCAATCCCTTTCCACAAAGACTGCGACGATTCTCTGGAATAGCTTAGTTCGCTGGGGAGACGTTATTTGATGTTTGACGCAATCATTCGGAGAAGCGTGAGATAGACCCGAAATCGTCTATGTTCTCTATAATACCTTCAGAGGCCAGATAAGTAAGACCTGCCTTGTAATGCTCATTAAGCCCAGTGAAACCACGGAAGATGATCTTTTTACGGATGCTCTGTTTCTGAAGGGCTTCCAAGCGAGGCAGAACCCAGCTATAGGCTCGTCCAGAGCCTATCAGCAATGAATCGTACATGATCAAACAGCCAATTCCGCTGAAGTGATGACACATTGATGATGCTCCAGGTAGCGGATCTAGGAATACATTGCGTCAGAGCATACCAACCTGTCCAAACATAGATCGCTTCTGTCATTCTCGTCGTCTTAGTTCACAAGAAAGCTCCGTCATAAAGCTGGGGATCCTAATTAGAGCCCCGACGGTCCCCAATCCAGTTTCTCTTGCGTCTGGTCTTGAAGCGCACAAGCTGGAGAAGGCTACGATACAGAGTATTCTTGACCAACGACACCAAAGATAGATAGTAAGCTATGGAGCCACATTGACAATGCGCAAAGCCATGACTCGTATGGTATCAGTTCATCGCTTGTTGTCTGCTCTACTCCGTCCCACCTTCTTCACCTTCTCCTTTTTCTACCGCAATCTTCATCTTTCATCTTCTTTCGGTTTCGTACCGACTCGTGCCGTCCTTGCAAGATCCATTTGAGCAACAACGATAGGTCAATGAATTCACCTCCAATGTGCGAAACATCCCCAAGTCACCAGCACCTCAATCGACTCAAGCATCATGGCAGACTACCTTGTAGTCTCTCCATCAATGTCCAATGAGCAACATATATCGAGTGGCGATGCTTATTGACACTGCGCAGTGGGACTTCTCCGAAGACACTGATTTCGCAATGTCCATTCTCCTGGAGAAGACCATCGACCTCCTCACTGCTAGACGCAAGCCATCTCTACAGGACATATTCGAAATTCCTTGGATTGAGACGAATGATCCTGCCATATAGCTTTGGATATCATAGACTGTGGATAAATAGGGTAACATAGTCGCGGTGGTGCGCTTAGTCGGGGCCGTCTGGGCCGAGGACAGAGGTCTTCAAATAACGGTCATTAAACATCCTGGAGAACACAAATTGACATCAGAGTGAGTCGATTCCAACTCCAAAAATCTCAATTCCAGCTAGCAAGTCTGCAGGGCGGAGACTGGAAGGCCTTCTCATCAATTTCATCCAGAACAACAAGAAAAACGGTCACGAAGTGCTCATTCACAAGGCTGTCCTGGCCTGTGGTGAAAAATTATTCGTCGTTCCCAGGGCGATGAATACCTCGCAGGGAGGTTCTATCAGGTCGAGTCAAAGCTGCCGGGTGCCTTGGGTTCAGTGACCTCTAACTCCAAGAGCCACAGCTTTTCTGCTCTGGAGGTATGGCCGTACGACAAAGATCAGGACGACTTCGAACGAACTGGCGGCGACAGCCATTGTGCAATGGAAGACGTCTGGCAAAGAACACCATGTCCCGTCAAGGCCACTTCTGTATTGTCCCGTCGACGGAGGCCCCAAAAATCGACAGGGCAGTTTCAACTTCAAGTATATGTCAGGTTCGAAGAGCATCTCGAATCCCACAGAAATGGAACCACACAATCTGTCCTAAGAAATCCATGAAAGCCCCGCTCCGATCCCCATTGTGCTTTCATGCTAGACTTCTGCCAGGAACCCAGGCATGAACCACAGCATATCGACGGTGAGTTCTCATGTAGTGCATGTAGACTTCGTTTCAGTCTGGTCAAGAACTGTGATGCTCATATTCTCGAATGCTTTGTGGATAATGCCATCGACCTGCACCAGGCTGTTTAGGCTGCCCAAAAGCTGCTCAGGAGGTTGCCAACGTGATCGTCTGCGGAGGTTTGCGTTGTGGTGCAATATACCCAGGCCACAAGGACGGCAGAGCTTTGATGGAAGAACACCGAAAGATGCACGTCGATGGGGGACTATGTTTACTGGATGGCGTTGTAAGTCTCGTCATACAACAAGCCAATAATCGTAGACGCAAAGACTGCCCAGGTCAATTATTCGTTGCTCCAGCCCAGCCCGAGGTTGAGCAGCCGTCGATCATACCACTTGCTTCATCTCAGTCTCGGGCAAAGCAGCTGTCAGTCAAATCGGTGGATCCAAACCGGGCTCAAGCAAAGAAGGATACTCTCGCTAGTGTACAATCGACACAGCCTGCAGTCAAGAAGTTGACACGCGCCAGCTTTGCACTGATGCTTCCTCTGACAACCAAGCGGACTACGGAGAGTCACTTCGCTAGAGAAGAACCACCGCCTACTTCACCTGAGTCACACTATCTGCAGCTAGATGCAAGGACCTAGTTTCCAACATCATACGCCCGAGAGGCCTTGGGCTATGGTTATTTGCGGCCCGACTACGTCAGGTCTGGAGAAGAGCCTTGTTACCAACCGTCATCGGACTCGGTCTCGCGCTTCACTCCAGTACCAGATGACGTTGGTTCGTACGTGACTTCAGACGGAACCTTGTCAGGAGTGAAGTTGTCGAATCCAGACCAACTAAGACAGTTCGTTATTTTATGGGAAGGAAGCATGACCGGAGATACTTACTTTTTGATTGACTCAATCTCGTCAGGTAATTCAAAACTGCCGGTGTAGGTAAAGACGCAGCCGGAGAAGATGGTCCCAAAGTCTAGATCAACAATCAGACGATCTTTGCGCACTTCATGAGGTCGCATGGTGGCTAAGGCGGTTGGATTGCTATCACCGAAGGCTGACAGGTTGGGAAGCGATGACAAGCAATAGCAAACGAAAATTATACGAGTTTAAAAACAATGCAAAGAAGAATGTCAGATTTTGGATGGATAATGGTGAAGGACGTTCAAGGACGGTTGAGGAGGTAGGTGGAATGAAGATGGTTGTAGCGGAAGGCGGACGTTAAATAAATTGCGTAGTTGAGTCAAGTGAGTGGGCGAGCGCCAGGACCTCAGTGAAAGCGACTCCTTGGAAATTCTGGTTTCAGTTTGACCACGTTGTGAGTCTTTGTGAGTAGAATCGTTTGTCGACTTGCTGATCAATCCATGAGAGCTTTATCTTCTGGCAACAGAAATTGTATAGCTTGCATTACGCAGAGTGTCCGCTCCACCAGCGGCCCTGCTGTACCCCACCGAGCCGTTCACCCGATTTTCGGATTTTCCAATCATCTTGGGCCTCAGCTAAGCATTTGGGTTCAGACTTCACAAACGGACTCAGAGTCAGACTACTGGCTCGTCTTGCTAGTAGCATGTCCTCTTCACCAACTCATTGGACTGAATCCAATCGTGAGCATGCCGCCTAGCTACTTTGGACTTCTCGACGCGTTTAACCAATGGACCGGACCTAACCATCTCGACTCATGCGAGGAGCGGTCGCAGTATGGTCCACTCAAGAAGGCAGATCGTCGGCTATGGGCTGACATGTATACAGACAAATCAGCGCCTAGAAGCTCCAGAACAACGTGCCTGACATAGCTTGCACAGCTTTCGCAGGTTTGGCAGCGTACACGGAACACCTTGAGACAGAGCTCGAGATAGAGGAGAGAGCAAACAACGATTTGCGCGAGACTTGCATGAACAGCCGCAAGAGTAAACCGGTCCTCGATAACAGCATTGAGCAGAGGGACATAGAAATGCAACAGTTTCAAAACGAGATCAGACAGAGAGACGCCGCGTCTTGCGATATAAGAGAGCCTCTTTAGAGTCTGCCAAGGTCAACCAGCGAGATTTTGATATATCCATATAGGCAGACATGAACACCTTGTTCTGTTCCATCGGCGACTGGGCTTTGGATGTGGTCCGTAAAGAACAGCTCGGTAAGTCTGATTCACAAGGACAGGCCAACTTTTGCGCTGGCGCTGGCCTCCAAACTTGCAGAATTGAACCCTGAGCCTGGATATGCCTATTAGCTCCTCATGAGGATGCTCCAGCTCAAGGACAAGCCGTCTGGTCTTCAGTCTTGTCATCGGATCATCTGCAGTATTGGAAGATCTCTTAGACGAGGGCTTCGTGCTCGGGTATGCATACAGTGGTAACGTTGCAAAAGCTACTGACCTAAACAGATCCATCAGAGGTAAGAGCAGGTCTTTTAATGGTGAGCGCATGCTCAAGTGATGGATCTCCTGGATAACAAAGCCACTTAGCGACAGAAGGGGCAGTGGCAGATGTTGATCAACAAGATCCTCGCGCGAGACAACGCTTCTGCAACGCAGACTGCAGAAGGTTCCTTCAAATGACTTTTGACAATATGTGGAGAGATGGTCTCAGAGACTTGCGGCAAACCTATGAGCTCAGAAGCTGCCAGAAGGCTATGAAAAGCCATGCAGCCCCGTTTGACAACCTTACGAGCACTACAGCTCCAGGAAGCTGAATATTATCCGGAGTCGATCTTCATCCCGTGCGATGGTAGAGGTTACCCATTAGAAAGAACGACCATGAATGACGTGAACAGACGCACCATTGGAGATTTTGATGAACGCGAGAACCTTATGCTCGAGACGATCTGCTTTTTCCGCCCTAGTGAAAGAAACGTGACAGAGGACGGAGAAGACGTGAGGCTATGTTGATGCAAACAACGACATTTCACTGACGCGATTGTCAGGCAGAGTGGATAGTGGTTAGCAAAGCAAAGGTACAGGTAGCCGTCTGATCAATCAGAAGAAGCTCAGGAGGGCTCGAACGCATGTGGTCGGTGGCATACAACTGTGCAACGGCCAGTACAAAATACTGTAATTCAGATGAGGTCATGGCGTGGGGACAGGACGACAACAGCAGCGTCCTTGTGTGAGGTTGCTTCTGCGATCCCTAGAGCCACTAAATTAGTGCTTTCTTCATTTGAACAGACAATGATGAGCCATCTATTCACCTCTTTGCTTCGCTCATGACAAGAAGCACACCTTGCGTGGACAGCAGCCTGATCCAAAGCCGCGGTTGGCCAGCTGGTTCTGTCTATTCCGACAGACGCTTGTTGAAGCCTCAATTTTGCGCCAATCCAAGCACTCTGATGGATTCACCGACAAATACCCCTGCCCGTGTCTCGTCCGAGTGCGTGGGAGGCCCCATCATTGCCTGTTCGAATCTGCAACCAGAATTATCTGATAACCATTGATGTGTTCGGCACTGTTTGCTTTGCTCGCCGGTTGAACTTGTGACCCTGTCCCTGGGAAGGCTCTAGACGGCTTCATGAGCATTGCCAGTCGCGGCCTTACTCGGACCACAAGGAGAATGGCAGAATTGTAGAAAGCAAGAAAGACAAATGGCGACCGGAATGCATCCCATGTGCACATCGTAGTTATTTTGTACACGGTCTGCTGCAACCATTACCCTCCTTCTTGATAGACTTGATTGGTTTGAATGGTCAAAATGAGAACCAGATGGCGACAGCTGAGACTTCTTGCGGGGGGAACTAGTTCGAGAGTACATCATCAAATCAAACCAGTCGCGGCCTGCCAAGCCACCAAATTAGCACCAAGTTCTCGAAATGTGTTGCAATCAGATCTGCCGCGCTTTGTCCATGTTGGGTCATGTTTGCAAACATCTCCTTTGTTGTTGCAGAAAAGGTTGCAATCATACTTTTTCTTACTGCAAATACAGAGACTGGTCAGACCCACAAAGTTGCCAAAGTGGCTGTAGCGAAGGCGAGGAGCTTTGGAGATTTGCAACTTATGTAGTGTACACAACGTAATTAGTGTCTCCAAGTCACCATAGCCATGATACTGTGGATGCTAATGTTCATCGTGATCATGATGGCATTGATCACGATGATCCCCATGCCGACCAGCATGATGAGAAAAATTGTGGTTAATGAGGGCGTTCATGATGACAGGAATCATGATATCGATGATGATCATGACCACGGGATCATGGACCACATGAACACAATCATGATCATGACGGTTGTGATCGTGATCATCAAATCTAATCAGCGCTACTTCGCAACGCGTACACTCACACGACTCTAAATCCTTCCTGAACACGCTTATACAGAGCCGCCCAGCATTGGAAAGGTTGAAAGCCCAATTTTCCGACGCACCTTGATGTTCTCGAGTAGTCTGTCGTCGAGCCTCGTCGAAAGCCGACTAAGAGGTCTTGCGATGCCATATCTCACGTGACCCAGAGCTCTAGCTCATTCGGGTTAGGTCGTGACTCGCAAAGGACCCAAGCTTTCAATCATCAATATCTCGATGCAATGTTGTACCGTGTCGAGGGATTCACCATGATGAAGCAAGGGGAACATCAGAGGCTGACCATGTGATACCCGCTAAGAAAACATATCGAGCACGATAGCAACGCTTGATAGCTCTAGGATTTCCAGTACACACAAAAGGCTTTATGATCAACAACAGCGGTTTCGTGCGAATCTGCTACAAAAGGGTGCTGGTCAAGACGGTCTGACATGACACTCGGTACATCGGCCACAGCATGCGAAGTGTTTTGACATGAAGTCTCTTCTTCTAGAGTATACAACGCATATTGAGGACCGCATGATCGTTGGACTAAAATCATCTCGATTATAAAACTTGTCTTGAACCTACCAGGCAAACTGGAACAGGTTCGAAGATCTACATCGTGCTAATCTACTTACTGACCACTGTTCAGCAATCTCGCTGGGTCCGCTAGAATGAGAGAAAAGCTGGCTGCTAATGAATTTCCCAACTCATGGGCCAGCACTCTTGTATCTCAAACATGGACTTGAGAAGTTTTCCCATATGAAGGCGGACGCTAATAGGCCTGAGCTGCCGAACAAATCTTTTTGGTTTTTCGCAGAAATATGGACTAAGTCGTAACCATGACAGTGCCATCTGCTGTCCCGATGGAATTTTTGTAGCGACGATAGACGTTGGGAACATTGCTCACGAGATGTGCAAGAAGACAACATGCTAGAGTGACTGGATCAGTGCTCGAGGTAAACCCATCATGAGCCAACATACGACCCCTCTTGACGAAACTCATAGTCGATCTACCAGGCTTGTTTCGTTATCATTTCTGAGAAGCTTCCGTATAGGTGTATTGGTCATCTGCAAACAATGTCCTCAATAGTTTTTAGAGAGGTTATTGAGCCAGAGTTTGGCCGACAGGTGAAAATCGTCGATACAGTCAGGCACGCAAGCACAACGACAGTAATGTCTCATGTCCATCTCGCTTGACTCTGCAGCGACCGCGCAAAGAAGGGGCGAAAAGGAAGGAGGGGGGTTTCATCGGTCCTCGCGTGCGACTAAGAAATTAGTTATTTTGCCCACCTTGCTCGTCACGAAAGTCCAATATGAGCAAACAACCATTTCAGTATTGAATGCGAAAACGAATCAACAGTCTGACGTCGCCATACTAAGCACTCACTCGCCGCTGTGCTGATTGTCGCAATGAATTGGGAAGGTGTAGTGAATTCGACCCGGTGCTCGTTGGGATGTTCACACACCTTGGAGCCTGATTGCTGCAGCATTGCAGGCTGCAGACTATTGCGTCCGAGTGCATAAAAATCCTTTAGTTGACCTTGGCGTTGGACTGGGATTGGGGAAACGCCCGCTGCAATGCATAATGGCGGTGTGCATCTAAGTGTAGACGGCGCTGACCAACACAACTGTCACCGAAAGACTTAGTCCTCTCTGACATGAACAATCGCAAGGATACAAGACCAAAGACCGAGAAGTCAGAGCAATTTCTATGAATCATAACCGGCGCCCTAGGGAAGCATGCCCCAAGAACAGAGTACGCAAAGTGAGTGGCGGTCCAGTTGACACGATCAAGCATACTGAAGGATGGGGGATGGCGCCTGTGCTTCGACAGGATTGGCTTGCAGATTCAATGTTGCACAACCTTTGCATGATGAAGCGGACTGTTGCACAACGATTATTGATCAGAGGCAAGGCAAGGCAGTAGTCGAGTGTTCGTAGCATAATAGATTTCTCTGGTTTCAGGATATATAAGAGTGCATGGCTGGGTCACTGAATGGTGGTGCTACATTGCATAGGACATTCTTTCATCGAGTCCTTGCCATCATCACAGCCAGTCGCCCATTCTTCGGTACTAGCTTCCCTCTCGAGGCAATAGAGAGACAGCTTTTTGCAGGGGCAAACAAATCGCAAGCAATGTGCACACCAGACCGCTGTGAGAATGAACCCTCGGGGTCTAGTTTATTCTCATCGACCAGATTCGTGCGGCGCAGGGAGCTTAGTCTCCCACCGGAGCGAGAGGCTGTGGCTGTGACTCTGTTCACGCCAGCGCTGCCAGATATGCGACAGGCAATCGAGGACAGAAACGTATCGGATTGCGATGATCCTTTCTCAGCGCTCGGAAAGGCCATCGTTACTGGTCCCACTCGCTCTGTCCTACATGTACCGTACCTACCAGAAAGGAGCATCCAAGACGAGCACATCAGATTGACAAACCAGGCTGACTTGACGATCGTTGCGATTACTCAGACTGCAGAATCTGAACCAGCAAGCGATCTAGCTGGACAGTTGTACTTTGCAAAGGCCATCGCCATGAAGAGTGGCACAGCCAACATGTGTTGCATACAATGCAACGTGGTCAACTCTGAGATAGGCTCAGCGTATGACAATGTCATCATCTCGCCTAGTCATACAAGGAGTGATCTTGAGGTTGTCGCGAAACTTGTAAACGGCCTGGTCCGTTTTGGACCCCGTTGCTGATGTACCAGGGAAAATCTGCCTCGCCTTACGCTATCGAGAGGCTCGGAGAAACATACAATCATGGATTTCTAGGGATCAGGATACTCGTCTGTCTATAGCTTCACCTTTTAGTGAACGAAGCCTACAAGGAATTGGGACGAGCAAACTCGTCTGCTGTTGCCAAAGTGGCTCGGGTAATTAACAAAGCTGCGAATTCTGTAGTAAAACTTCTTTACGAATTATCTACATGTATGTTTGATCGAATCCAAATCTCAAACAAGAAATGAGAATACAACCGCGATCCCATTGTAGCGGCCTTTGGGGCCACATATTGATTGTTCATGCGACCGCTTGGCTGACAGTGTCGACAGGTCGAAACTATTCAGAAGAAAATGAGGCTAACATCTATATTGGCAAGACAGAGCGTAGGTCACAAGAGCAATAAATCAACACGCGATCTCGAAGACCAATTACCGATTGTTGGAGAGATTATCATCAGACCGCTCTTCGTGATACACTGGCTTTTCGGTCTCGACGATCACGAATCTTCTTCCGATCGAACACATGCTTGGATTTGAGAATCTTCTAGAGGTCCAATGTGTAGATCGAGTGGACGGAAATTCTATCAGATCATCTCTTCTCATGACTCTTTGCCGAATTTCACATAGGCCCGCGGCTCAAACGCTGTCACCGAAGCTCCTTCAGTGATGACTTTCGACTGTATGGGATGGGTTGTCAAGCCCAGCCACGCATTTATTATGTGGCGGTATCTCTGACGTGGTGTATGGAAACGGTCTACCTGGCAGGTGTAGTTCGAGCGACAGAATGAAATCAGATCCAGACATCCGTCATACATTCAGTGTCTTCTCCAACTTCATCATGATCACCCCTAGTTCCAGTCTGGCGAGCGGTTAATGGCCTTGCCAGATTCACCAGACTTTTTGTCGAATTCACTAGGACTCTCGCGTTTCTCGGCTCTCTTGAGCACGGGCAGATAGCGTTCGGGACCGTATTCTCGCCACAATACGTGGAAGAACTATCGGATGGGTAAGGCATTACTTGAAACACTAAGTACCCTCATCCTGAAAGGTGAGCTGGCGGTGCCGTGCCTTGCTCGAGGTGCCTTCAACGGGGCCTATGAAACCGCTTATTCATATCCTGTAGCAATTTGTATAGATTGTAATTGATACTGACCCTAATCCTGAGATCCTCTTTGTCGAAAAAGCTTGAACAGAGCGGCTGCTTAAGATTAGACCTCTTCGACAAAGTCCTGGGATCTCTCGTCTCACCCCGCTTCATCGTGAACATTTTCGACAGTATGGACGTCAGCTTCGGCCCACACGGTAATGGATGAAAGCAGCAATCATCACGGTTGGATGCGGACAACTTTCTTCATTCAAGTTTAAGTGTCTTGTGGCTAAATGGACTCACAATGCCGAGCAGAGCGAATTCAAATTCTAAGAGGTGCGAGAAAATACCTTTCCTTGAAGATGTGTAAGGTTCAAGATGTGTTCTTTTGAGAAATCCACTCACCTAAATCACGACAGCCACAAAGGATAAAGCGAGAAGAGAGGCGTGGGATGCTGTTCTTCGTATGTCGTTTGCGACGATTGGCGTCCTCTACGATGTTCTCGTTGAGAAAGAGCAGACTTTCTGCAGGCGTCTCAGAATTGGTCCATTCGAGGGATGTCACCCAGCTTATCAATTTTACTAACAAAAGCTCTTTGTTTTCTCCTCTTCTGTCATGAACATATGACTGCGGGCAATTTTACAACACAGATGTACATTCCGACGAGGTTGGCCTCTAGCAAGAAGCCTATCTCAAATCTTCCTTGAGCCACATCTCACTCTTAAACGAAGTATTGTCAAGAGTCTGCATCGGCTGCTGTCTGCCTGACCACCAGCCTTCGTGCCTATCAGTCTGCCTCTACGATGCAGCTTATCGTAGCCTTCGTGGCTCCTACAGATGAATCATGTCCCAATGCTTTCACAAGAACCTAAAACTTGCAACTTGAAAGTTGGCATATTGAGCAACACAGAGGTATCAAATCGAGAACAATGAACGTGATGTAGCGGAGTTAGCGAACAGGAAAGCTACAATATGTGGAAGAGAAAGACAACAAATGGCGTTTATGGTCTGCCTCCAGAAGCAGCATGTTGTCTTGTCGATTCAGGTTTAAGGCTCTCAGTATAAAATGGACGGATAAACAAGCCGAGTAATTAGGGAAGGAGGAAATGCAGCACAGAGAAGCATGGAGGAAGCAGTACCAAGTAAAAGTGCAGGATAGAGGTACTGAACGCCACCCTTAGCGTATCAGATGGATTGCTGTTGCATATCTGACATGCTCTGGGATACATTCGTCTATTCTCGCCTCGTCTACCTCCGCCACGCTCACACGGGTTTGCGCAGACCACAGATATCGCACTCCAAGCAAGTCTCCATAGCTACAATACATGCCTGTAGCAGCTGTTGGTGCAGAAATTGCTTGACCATGCAGAAGTCCGCATCCATACACCATCGTGCATCAAACAAGAAGTCGCGGAAGGACGCATGGATGAGACGGATAGGGGCTTCGTTCGTCGTCGGCACCCGCACCACTGAGTCCAGCTGTTTAAGATGTGCGCGGACGTTACTCTCAGATGTTCTGAGGACAGAATCATGTGTCTGAGGACGGAGAGGTTCGCCGTGTGCTGCAACGGCTTCGAGTGTCTTTTGCATGGCTGCTACATGTGTGAGATTTCTTCGGACGGGCTTTCTCAGAGACCGCTGCAGTATCTGGGCGTAGATTTGATCGAGGAAGAGTGTGTTACTGTGTTCTGAATGCTCTTCCGGTAGCCAAGACAAGGTCGTTGCACTGTCGTGATCTACGAAACTTTTGAGTGCATCCTCTGCTTGTGGTTCGTCCGCTACGAAGCGACGCACGGTGGCGGCGAACATGGACAGTCCTTCTGAAATTTGTAACAGGCGATTCATCAGACCGACGTTAGACCAGCAAGGGTCGTCGAGCCAGTCTTGTGCTAGCTTGATGTCCTCGAACTGGCTGTAGAAGAAGAGGCAGATATCTCCATCCACGATGTCTCGAGGTGCGTCGTGTATCAACACATCCCTGTGTACAATGCTTGTCATCTTTCTAAAGCCCAAGCTGGACTGATATCTCTGGCCTGCTGGTGAGGATGAAGCGTAGCCGCGCGTTGGCGATGTGTTTAGCTTGGGATAGCACTGCAATCAGACCCATCATGTGCTGATCATTGTCGCATTCATGGCTTGCAAATTGTGTTGGGCTGCCATCTTCTGTAGTGGTTACGCGACGAGCATGGTCCACTGGTCCTCTCGAGTCTTGCTGGCGATGTCCGGCTGTTCAAGGAGGGCATCGCCAACATGTCGTTCGAGTGCTGGCCAGTGTATGGTCAGCTGCCTGACGATGCTTGTTAAGAACTTGCCTGCGTGCGCTGCATCACCTCCACTCCTAGGGAAGAAGAAGCTTGCTCCTAGATCCCTCCTCTTGTGGAAGTCGCGTGCAACTGTTCGCATAATTGTCGACTTCCCTGTCCCTGCCGCTGCGTTCAGCCAGAAGATACAGCTCTCATCTGCTGCGTATGTCCATGCTCGCATCTCTTTGAGGACTTCTGTGCGTGTATCCTCAGGGCACAGTGGGTCATCCTGCTTTGTGTGCGAGTGGAATGGGGCTTGCTCGGCGATCGGCAGTCGATCTATCAGTTCCTGGTCGTTGATGGCTGTTGGTCTCGATGGTACGTCTCTCTTTGGGTCTGCTCGAAGATTATCTTCCAGAACGAAGCACGGGGAAGGTGTATGATACAGTGGGTCGCCATCATGCATCGCCCCTTGAACTTCTGTGGAATGTCAACGAGAAACTTCTTATCGCAGGGTGACAATCGTCCTCACAGCGATTACACTTGCAAGATTCGTGGCTGTTCTGCCTGTCTGATATGAGCTCGATGGTTCTTGTCCTTACGAATAGTCTTCAATATACACACTCTGCTTCGAGCTCAAGTTCTGGATGCACTCTCGCGCTCGCGGCTTCTGTGCCGTGTGTGTGAGATATCTATACGAAGCTGCTTCGATGGCCCTCTTCTTCTTGTGCTCCTCAAGCCCAACATCCTGCAGTCCCTGCTCGACATTGAAACGAAAATATCGCTTCTCGTCGAAGTATTTAGCCCGCCTGCCGATGAAATTCTTGTCTGTATGCTCTGTTTCCGTCGCTATGCTAATCGTTGTCTTTGTGGGGAAACCGAGGAGACTGTCCTCAAACGCCTTCTTGCCTGGGTTTCCCGTGCCAATCGAGACGAAACACTCGACAAGAGGCTTCAGGTATCCGGTTTTCGGACACCAGATATTGGCGGTTTCTCCTTCTAACTCGTCCATCAGGTTGCTTGCGCCAAAGCCTCCATCGGCAAAGCGACGGTCTCCGATGCTGACAGGATCGAAAAAGGTTGTGGCAGCGGACGTGGCCAATGTAGCTTGGCATATCATTGCACGAATGCTGGGTTCGTGTGGAAGCTCGTAGCTTCGAAGATGCACCATGTCCTTTGTGTAGTGATTGATAGAACACACGAATCTGTCTGTGTTAAACGCGTGCTCATCAGAGATCTCATGGTGAAGGGCCAAGCACTTACGTTCGACAACCGCGACTTGTCCCATCATCAAACAGGTCCGTCCCAGATGCACTGCATTGTGCTATAGTATTGTTGATCGCGCTTGCAAGCTGCACAGAGTCGAATTGCGCCTCGACTTTGCCTTTGAGATCAACTGGAATGCGACTCAACTTCTGACCGAACACCGTTTCCGTGAGGTCACTGTTTGCGACGATGCACTCGTCGACGCTCATCTCAAGCCGACCGAGCATGATCGCGATAAGCCTGTACTAGTGATCAACAAGATGATACAAACGAGTACAGATCTGCTTACCCTCCCGTGCTTGTGCCTCCAATCAGATCAAACATCTCGCACGGCTTCACTTGCGGAAGGTCGGCCGCTCTACGACAGCTGTTCAACCTGCAAATGATGTTCTCCAGGATGTAGAGCGTTGATAGACCACGTACCCCGCCACCATGGAGAGAAAGTAGGCGAAAACCGGTAGTGTCCAGTAGGTCAGGATCGCCGCCATGCTGGTTTACTCGACACGGAGCCGTTGTGTCATCCGTTACAGATTTGCGTAGGAGTTTGCGGAGTGTATGGATGTGTTTGAGAAAGACAGAAGCAATCTGTCGTAGATAGAAGACAATTATCTGAGTCTCGAGTATGCTGGAGGCTGATAAAAGCGCGTGCGGGGGGCTTCCCACCAGCTAGCCAACAGATATGTCACCAAGCCCCCTAAGCTTCTCATCGTGGGCCATGGCGAAGGAAGGGCCGTGTACCCTTACAGGTCCTGAGGTCACTGCAAGTGGACTTCTGATCAAAGCAAAGCGAAATCATGCGCGTCCTGCAACCTGTGTCCTAGTGTCCTGGTGTCCTGGTGTCCTCACTTGTTGTCGAGCAATCAGCACGCGGGATCCGACGGCCTGTTCTGCCTGGCTGAGGGAGGAATTATCCCATAAGGAGGAAGCTCAACAGGCTATCGGGACTCGCGCACCAACTCCCCTTAATTTAACATCTGCATGAGGATGCATATTCCTCCAGACCTTGGCGCGTGTTCGGAAAAGAAGCAACTACACAACAAATTTGATACACTCCTAGCTACCTATCGCTTCGCTGCCGAGTACTATCACAGTCAGACGTGCATACAGAATGGTTGATCGCATGTGGGCACGGGTATGCTAGGACTCGTACGTGTGATCCGAAGCTACTAACAACCACGGTTGCCTGTGTATGTATTCTGGAACCCGCTGCCCTACTCTTTGCTTGTCCATCGCAACGCAGATCCGTGTTGCATCTAGTCTCCTGCGCTATCATCCGCTGCGCATCAATAAAGTCATTCCTGCGCGCTCGACATCTCTCGCAACATCAAATGTGTGCCGCCAGCCGTCTGAGAGAGGATGCGCGCTTGTCTGCATTGACGCCGACTGAGTTGATGCTGCATGCCGCAAAACCCTGTAGCTAAGTATTCGACAGGTCTCATTCGTCGAAGATACTTGGTCAGTCTGCATAATTCCACTACTGCAACAATGCCTCGCTGTTTGCACACTCATGCCTAGCATTCGTGACGCCACCAACGTGTCTGCACAACTTTGCTACCTGGAACACTATTTCGTTCTCTGCATACGGGGACGATTTATAGCTGCTGGACGGTGTACTCTGTTTGTCAAAGATAGCGCTCACATTCTTCATTGATTGCAATCACACGTGATTCGCAGACGGCGCGTAGACATGACCGGTCGCACGTCGTAACACACTCAGTCACAGAGTGGCCGCATCGTCGTCGTAGCGACGCTATAGAGTACTGCCAGATTATTTGCGCACATAGATACTGGCATGCCGGGTGACATAGTTTGGTGTGTGGAAGTTTTCAGGGAAGTTAGCAATGTCTGTCCTTTGGGAAGAGCCGTTTGGCCAGACACCTGGTCCCTGCAGGCCGTTCGAATGCAAGAAGCCAGCTATCAGGCCATGTCCAACATTTTTGACAATTGAGTTAGCATCATTGTCGGAGAGTCCAAAGTAGAGAGCTGGGAGGGGGATTTTCAGACGAAGTGCGGTGACTTGTTGAAAAGTGATAAGAGCCTTGATGGCAGAGAATCACCCTTGTCGAGCACGTTCTCACAATTTTTTGCGGAAGGTAGGAAGATAGCACTCGGCGGCTTGTGAATATTTTGGATATCGCGATAATCGGCCTTGGCCGATGCCGCCGCGCGGGATGGTAGCGATGGCGACAACAAGCTGACGCAGTGAATGTTCGTGTGCGCGCTTCTACATCAAGCTGCAGGTGGTAGACATGCAATAGAAAGAGAAGAGAGAGGATAGAGAAGCGATGGTACTGTATACGTGTGCTGATGTGCTTATAAGCTTATCGGAGGTCAACAAAAAGGAATTGAAAGCCGCGGGCCGAAAGCATGAGATTAGAGGGTCAAAGTTTGTCTGATGCGTTGACGGCCGAACAGCGCCCACTCATTCACTCACCCCTCCATGCAACATCTTTTCCAGTCCTCCTCCCCTCGACCGTCTCATCTCGTACAATACAACATAGCTCAGGTTTCGCAAAATGCCGTCCTCATCTGCATTGACGGATGGGGTGTCGCTGGCGAGAGCTCCCCGACAAGGGCAACGCCATCCTCAACGCCGACACTCCCTGGATGAATATATGCCTGTTGATTATTATTCTGGCTTTCTAAGAAGTAAGACACGCGGTTGTGGAACTTGTGATTGCTTGAGTGCAATGTCCAAGATAGTCGCCAAGAAGATGTTGTCGTGGAAGTCACTGTTAGAATCAACTCCATCGAATCATTGCGGAAAGATCTAGGCTAGTGCGCGACCAAAACGCAGAGCGACCTCCGAAAGAGTTTCTGGCTGAGGCCTGGCCCGCGCATACCCATGTGATCCATATCAGGTATACATGTTTCTTGCTGGTGGGAAGGAGAAACAAAAAGATGGCTATGTATCGGGTCTACCTGTAATGCTGATCTGCTTCAACTCGTCAATGACACTGCTCAATCTCGACTCCTGGCTTCCTAGCTCATTAACGTTGAAAACCACAACCCATTTGGATTTGCCGCTATCTTGATCCGCCCCGGCAATCATTTCCTGAATGTGGTGCAATATAGCCACCACTTCGTCCGATATGACGATGTTCATATTCCGAGCTGCTCGCTCAATTCCCAGCGCTGCATATCGGAGCACTGGAAACTGCTTGGCGCCGTGATAGATGACTCTGAATGCGATGAGAAAGTCTAATCTAGCGTCTGCCGAGGTGTCGTATGTTGGTAGTGTCTCGAATGCAACTGCAACGACAAAGGCCTCGAGGAGGACAACAACCTGAGCTTGTCCGTGAAACTTGTCGACGAATCTGTACACGATACGTTGCGATCGTGTTGCAAGTGTTGCATATGATAGTGTTGGTTCAACTGAACGTCCGGCTCCTTCCAGGAGCGTTGCATGTGGAGAAGGATGCGAGGGTGTAGCTGTCAAAGGACGCAACAGCTCGATCAGGGCTGAGTTGTATAAAGCGCTAATACAGTCAACATACGATAGTCCGGCTAACACCACCACAAGAGGAGAGTTACTTACTTGAGGTAGAGAACATGGGGAGGGGCTTCATGCAGAACCTTTAGAGCCGGATCTATCGAGCCCCAACACTTCTGCATACGCTGGTAAAGCACAAGTGTCGCTTTCTGATAGTCTGGAGTCAGCGAGCTCGAGCTTTGTTTGAGCAACGGCACGATGTCCTTCATTATTCGGCTCAGGCGAGATCGGGCAACGAAGGTCTCGACTTTCAACATAGGTACTGGTCTTCCACTACGCGGCCATGGCCATGGTGACCAATTTTATGCGGCATTGACAAGAGCGCGTGGCGGGCCGACAGGTGGGGGAGAGTCGAAGCCCATATCAGTTCGAAAAGCGAGTTCACTCAAGCTTGGAACATCGTTAGCAGCCGTTCTTACTACCGAGCTTGAAAAGGACCCGCAAGAACGGAGAGCAGAACTCACTTGATCCAAGAATAGATGCCCCAGGCAAAAACTGCTCTAGCTCGCGATCCCCGTGATTGAAGAGGATCGTATACTTGACCGGCGCGATGGAAATCATACAGCCCTATGTTGTGAGTTATATGCCGTGCTTCCAGCAGACAGGGCATACCAAGGTTGCCGTCGGTGAGCAAAGTGTGGACGGACCACATTATCATGCCAGCTGCAGCAGAGCCAAGGCTGTTCTCCTTGTCGATATTGCCATTCCAGAGTTCTTTGGCTCTAGACCAAGCAGCTTGGATGATGATTGGGCCATTTTCAGGGTCGACATGAGAGTAGTTGTACTAGAAACGAAAATTAGTTCCAGGCAAAACAAGACCCGAGGGCGAATAGAAACTTACTGAACCATAAGCCAGAATGGTGTGCACCAGAACCTCTGAACAAGTATCTGTGGGTTGTTTTATGAGGCCATCGAGGAAATCATCCTCATCGAAAGGACGGTGTCCGTGGCGGTCCCAGTTCAGATAGGAAGAGATGATATTTCGGAATCCATGATCATCGACATATGACACATCCCAGTCGCGAGCTCTGGCAAGTTTGACCCGCTCATCTATGACATAGACAGGCACAGAGACAGGACTTGCTGGAAGCGCAGGAACTGAAATATTCAGAATACTCGGCAATGTCGCTGATGGCGGCGTCAAGCTGGACCGCTTATGAATTGAAGCACTACGACAGTCAGGAGGTGACACTAAATAGGCAAGCATTTTTCATCAAAAATACAGCACCTCGCTCAGTGGAGGTAATGATACAATACGACTTTCATGACCACGACCGATATTGAGTCTGGCCGGAGCGACAGTCGACTGGCCGTTAGAAGAAGAATCAGATGCGGACATGGCTGCCGCGAACTCCAAAGTCGAGGTTACGTCCTCGTCGCCTCGTCGAAAGAACTCGAGAAGCTTATCCGCATTGGACGATGACCAGATTTCAGACGATCCAACAACTGAGAGACTTCCTCACGCTGCTTTTGCAATGCATCGAGCTTGCGCTTCAAGGAGACGATGGGCGAGGCATCAGATTCTGCCGTATAAACACAGAGTTGCTGGCGGATGATACATCCCGAACACGTTGGCCTTTGACCATCGCACTTTTTGATAAGTCAACACATGGGATTCCGTGATTACTGCACCGATTTGCGACCGACACTCGCCTTGATTTTGCGGGATCGACATCGAGTACATGCGACAGTGGTTTCGGCGCACTTTGGTTTGCCTTCATCCTTGGCACTGTGATTACTCATGACGAGAGCGGTCAAATTCGATATAGCTACACATGTCTGTCAGGAAACATAACGTGACCGAGAATGCGATGGTTTGACCAGGAATCGACAGAATGCATCGTGTCTGCGACTCTGCGGAGGCTGGTGATGCTTAGTCACGGTTTTCTGACGTCAAGTAAACGTCCTTGGCTCGGAGTGAAGCCCCAAAGACTCTGACGAGGCGTAGCTTAATTGGTGGACACATCCGAAGATGTGTCGCTTCCCTGCATTCACATCTTACTACCTAATTCTCTATATGAAGAGTCATAATTCGAACTCAGTACCTATAAGGAAAAAGAAAGAATTCATACGGAAGTCGAGAAATCTCTATGCAACCGCACCTGTTCATATTGGGGAGAAGCGATTGTCGTAAAGGACTTTTCCATCAGCAGAAAACTCCGTCCAAACGCCCACATAGCCAAAGCCGAGCCAGCACTCGGGGGTTAGAACCGTCTGTCGAGAGAAGTATCTGCATGCTGCCTTGACTTGAAGAGACGAACTGTGCTGGATGGAAGTATTCTTGAACCAGACTTGCCGTGTATGCACCCTACACGAACCCACTAGGGACACCAGTAGTCGGGTAAGTAGTCTCGATCAGCACACCCCTTGAAGGTCTGTTCCCAGTCCACTCATGGTCTGCTCCCTTGTCAAAGGCTGAGACCAGCATTTTCTTCACTCCATCCACGTCTTTCAATGGGTGCATGGCGATTTCGTAAGCTAACAAGACAGGAAACTCAGTCAAGTTGTGGAAGCGAGCAAAACGTTGGTACGCGATATCAGTCGCTTTGCTCTTGCCTTGAGAAACATCTTCAGACGCATTTCGCTTGTCGCCGAGGATCCAGATGATCTCCACAGTCGAGCCGTCGATGTACGTTATGGTGTGTGGGTGTATCTTGTAGAGACCAGATAGTTACCGAACTCGTCCTTCTGTATGCTGTTCATATGTTCTCAGTCCCAAGGATGATTTGGCTGTCTTCCTTCGCCATTGCTCTCCCGAAATGTTTCTTCGAGACTGTGTTGTTCAGAAGCACGCCGTTAAGACCAGCTCGTTGGTCTCGAGGTCAGTTTCTTGGAACAAACAGTCCCATACCCAAATCACGTCTGTGTCACCTACGAGACCTGGTGACGATAGATCTCGTAGACATTCATCATACCAGTGTCTTGGGTCGTGATTGCGAGCTCATGCAGGTCTGCATGCAATCCGTCCAAAGGAGATATCTTCGCAATCTCATCATATCTGAGTTGTACTATTATGTTCGTGTCAGCAGTATGGCTTCTCAATTCTATCTTAGAACATATCATGTACTAGTCGCATTCTCCATGACCACCAGAACTATCATTACTCCAATGTGCCCATATAGTGAATGTCGATACACATACTTTCTCAGTGATGAGATGGCAATAGCCTCCTCCTTAAGGGCGGTTCCTTATGTCGCGTACATCCTTATCGACCGAGCGCTGTTTGGAAGCAATGTCACCGAGATAGTGGTTGTGTAGTATTTGGTCCCCAGGCACTTGATGTTAGTCGGTTTTTCCTTATGTCTGTCGTTGCAGTATGCCTGCCGCTTTTGCAAACTCCATTGTGGCTGTCGCTGCATTCCATTCTGGTTGCCACTTGTCTTTCTCGCCGTCTACAATCTTGCCATTCTCCATGTGGTCCGAGTACCCTCCTCATGCATATGAGACATTACAGTATCTGTTACCGTGTACTATTCTCATGCCTCGTCTTTCCTCTCTCCATCGTGGGTACAAAAACAGGAAGTGCTAAACCGTCTCTGTTACTCCACAGTCGCGTTTATCTGTTTTCACTGCCTTTGTCGTCGTGTCCTGGAATCCAGTAGAGAGGAAACGTTCTTTCTCTGATCTTCTCCCTGATCTTTAGTACTAGGCTGATGCTATCGTTGATTTTCGAGTTTCTGGATGCTTTGCAACGCTTCTTGACAGTCTGAAGACACCCGTATTCGCACTTGACTATTCGAATCGTTAGAGATGCCCTTGATTGCCATACATATTGCTAATAGCTCTGTATGATGGACGTTAGTGTCGTCTTCCCTTCTAACAAGCTTCGATGCTTCCCATGCCGATGTCCAGATGCCAATCCCTGCTCTGCCATTCCTAACTGATCCATCAGTATAGAAATCGACCGCTGCATATTCTGTGGCGGTGGCTCATTTAGCTTGCTCCTTGTCTAGTATATGCACATAGGCTTTTGGGCTCCATGGTTCACATCCGACAGTAGGCATTTTGTCTGCTTGACAAGCCTTGATGCCTTTGAATAGGACAGCTGCTTTTCGCAACGGGGATGGGAAGCGTTTCTTGCCCTTGTATCTGGCTGACTTTTGATGGACGTGAGAGTCATCTAGCTTGTGGATGCCAATCTAGAACGTCAGTGTCTGCTTATGTAATCTTTGCTGAAGTGTTGCAATGCCTGCTTCCATAACTGCTACATTCGGACCCATGGTTCTGGATCCTCCCACTATGGCTTGCGCTGCAATTTTTTTTGGGCTCTCTCTAATGTTATCAGTGTCTTGTCTGACACTGCTAAGTACCATATCGGTGGTGCATAGTCCATGGTCGGAGCTACCGTGGCTAAGAACAATTGGCGCATGCTTGCCGGTCTAAGGCCTCGCAGCCTCTTTAAGGCCAGTGCTGCCTTAAAAACCTTGTTCGCTTTGCCTACAACATGCTCTCTATATCGTAGTGTTTGATCCATGATGACTCCTAAGATCTTGACTGATTGGCTAGGGTCTATTGTGTCTTGCTTGAATCGTAGTGGCATGTCGCTGTCCCGTTGCAACGAGGAGGTCCTAGTAAAATGGATAAATGCTATTTTTGACGACTCAAAAACTGCCCCACTTTCTCTTTCCCATTTTTCCAGTTGTGGAAGGATCTCCCTCTGGATTCTCCTTGTATTGCGTTCGGCTTCGTCTCCTACTACCCATGCTGTGTAGTCATCCACTAAAGCCATAGATCTGCCATCCTCAACCTTGAACTGTATCAGATTGTCGTTAAAGAGGAGAAACAGGATTGGATCTAGGCGTGACCCTTGCGGCATTCCGGCTTAAGGCAGGTCTTCTACTTCTGACGTGAAACCATTGGCTATAACACATGCAACCCGTTCCACTAGAAGTTCCGGAATTCTTCTCCGTCTTAGTGGTTGTAGCAATGGTTCTGTTGCAACATTGTTGTAGGGCCTTTAACGTCAAAGGAGACTAGCGAGGGAGTCTCCTCCCCCCTCCATACGTCAAAGATTGATTCTTGCAGGTATGATGTCGCATGTACGGTCGATTTCTGTTTTCTTGCGCCAAAGTAGTTATTCGGCAACAGCCTATGTACCTCGGTAAGGTATGCGTTTCGCGTGCTATTACAGCTTCCATGACCTTTCGTGGAGTTGTAAGGAGAGATATCGCTCGGTAGTTCTTAGGAAGCGTGTAATCGTCCTTATTCGCTTTCTTTAGAGGAACAATCTTTGCAATCTTCCATTGTTCTGGTAGTTTGCCTTGGGTGTAGAAATTTGTCTCGGCTTGTCAAATTTCCCAACATTCGCTGGTATCATGAGTGTTCAAAGAACAACTGTGCTTTCAAGAGATATTCTCATGGATAGGTAAGTCGTGATTTGAGTCTCCAAACTTTGGAAGCTAATATGATGTAGATCCTTCTATCCCGTAGTAGTATGGGCACGATAAAGGTTGACCCTGTACCTGCTATATGGAGAACCACAAATTGATGGTTACGGCACACAGAACATCGTCCGCAGGCAGCTCGTCTATTATGCAAGGCTTCGATCATGTTTCCAATCGTTCACTTCATGATCGAGTGAGGATTTGTTGCTCTGATGCTCAAGTTCGTCCAGCCGAGCCTGTATCAGACCGTTGACCTCTGCTGTGCACTTGTCGGTCTCGTCGTGCAGCTTGGTGCAACCCTCGTCAACTGTCTCCCGAAGGCTAGCTTCATTCATCTTGCAGTCCTCACAGAAGTCCATTACATCCCCAACTCTCAAGTCTGCACAACAAGGCTCGCTAGTAAGATGAGTGAACTGCACATACGACTTTGTGGTCAGTCATGCGGTTCGTCTTGTTCGATTGGATCGCGGTACTCGACACCTAGACATTCGTCGCATAGATGACTTCCTCCCCAAGCTTTTTCACCAACTATGCCGGCCTCATCGGCGGCCTCTGCAGCAGCGGGATCGCAACAATATAGAGCAGGGTTGTCAGGTCGTTGACGGAGTAGCCACAAACGCTTCAACTGCTGTATTTGCCCTTCCTCTTCGCCTGCACGAGGAGTGATGGCGTCTGGGATAGTCGTGGTAGTGGACGAGGCATCTCTAAAACTTCTGCATCTTCTCTTTGGTCTATGTAATGGGGGTGTCTGCGCGTCGGCGTCGTCATTCCCGTTATCGGTGACCTTCCGCTTGCGCGGACTCGTGCTGCGGCTTCGGCCAATGGCAAATTTTGCCTTTGCCTGCCCTGCCGTGATGAGTTCCGTAACTTCTGTCAGTTCTCCATCCTGCACCACCCGCGTTCGCACTTGACGGGCTGCGCCTGCCATAAGGAATTTTGACACCAAGGGGAATATGGCCCACGCGAATCGGGCCAGAAGACAATTGGCTGAAACCTCCTTATCGATAGCCACGGGAGTATTATGATACAGCTTGCCAAGGTCGTTGGTAAGATGGGTGAAATGGGCAACCCAAGTGTCCTGCTTGGGCACCACGACAAACTTGGCGGCATCAAAAGTCGTGTGCAGGTCCGAGCGGAGGGCAATGGCGTTTGTTATATCGTCGATGACAGCGTCCCTGACCAGCTGACCGTTCATGTTGTACTGGGCCATTCCATTCTTGTCGAACCAGTCTACTTCACTGCGCGGGCATAAATGCGCTCGTTCGACACAGTCTCTCTGGCCACTGATGACGCATGCTTTGTCACGGCGGAGCACGGCAGCCGTGAGCGTCGACGATGAAGGCGGTGCCCGCAGCACGTCAGTGTCCAATGCATCGTCGTCGGATGGCGCGCGCGGCCAACTCGGAGGCAGATCGTCGTGCGGAAAGGCCCAGTTGGCGAAGTCGGGATACACGGGGTATTTGACATCGCTCGAGGGTACGTGAAAGTACAGCACCTTGTCGAAAATCAGGTCGTCGTGCTGCAGGTCCAGTCTGTCGTTCCCGTCGCGAGTGCGGCTGAAGTATCCGTCCCAGGCATTGCAGGCAACTATGGCGCATGCGATGTGAGCGGTTCCGCAGTGCAGGCCACCTCGGACATCGTCGAACGCATGAAGCGTCAGGAGTATGTTCTGGCCAAACTGGTCGGGGTACCCGGGGTGTTTAAAGGTGACGGTGTGCTCCGGCCGGGCGCCGCCAAAGCTGCTGAGCGGAAGAGCTGGCTGTGCTGGAACAGGCTGCCTTAGAATGAGATGGGCAGATGGCGTGTTTGAAGATGGTCCTGCGTTCATCTTCTATCAATATGATACATTGTTGATCGTAAGTTGTCTGGGCATGTGTATTGTCAGACGGATTCGGCCATTGTTTGTTTGGAGGGATAAATCTCCCCCATGTTTGATCCCTTCGATCCGCGGTTCTCCCGGCTTGGCTTTCCCTGACTGCCATTGCGCGGAGGTCTCACGCAGCCTTGTGTTTTAAAGACTCACTATAACATAATTCCGACCTCAGCGATCGACCTCCAGGCAACGTTTGATTGATCGAGACGAACTTGCGGTAGTCAACTAAGTATGGACGTTACATGAGCGATCGCCTTGGGGAGGAGGCTACGGCCTTTAGAAAGTATGGAAAGAAGTGCAACAACACTCCTTACATGAGCATATGGGTGTCACAGGCATTTACTGCGGTCTTCATGGTCTATCTAGATCATCGCCCTCCTCTACCGAACTCCAAGATTATGACCGATCCGAAATCGGACGGAATAGATTCATTCAAAATGAGTGGAACGATGAGCGACATGTCGGTGAGATAGATGCAGAAATGAAGCATAGTTGTAGACCGTCGCTCCTCTCATGTAAGCAGTCATAAACAGGGAATCGCTCAAGATAATCAAAGTGATAGACTTCCAGTGGCGCAAGCCTGAGACCAACGAAACACATGTGCACGCTGTAGACGCGCGCGATGGGAAAGTGCGTGTCCCAATTTAGTCCGACTTTGGCAAGTCTTGGTGTCAAAATCCGTCAGCATTATCCGGCAGATTCTGCATACGAGTATATACTAGATGCAGCCGCAACGCCAAAATGGCGCGTCCTGTGCAGTCTCCTCATCACATCGCACACTTATTCATCACTATCCCTAATTCATACCAGCTCACTTCATCCTTCGTTCCGATTCTTTCGAGAGACCAAAGCGAGCGTGATTGATCCGTACCGGCGACGCCTGGCTGTAGTCAGTGCGCTGCTCGTCACGGACTGTCTTGCGCTTTGTGGTTGGTCCTTCTTCCTTTGAAGACTCGAGAATCTCACCTTGTCGTCACCTTCTTGTCTTCCTGTCATCTCTCCTCGCCTCAAGAGCCAAGGCTGCTCTACCTCGATCTACAGAGCCTGGGAGGGTGGGTTTCGCAAGTTGTCTATGCAGCGTGCGGGCGAGGTATGTCAGAGACTGTCCGAGTCGCTCGAAGACGCTGACGGCCATGTTACCTCTGTATCTAGCTTTGCATCTAGTAATCTAGTTAGGCTTTCCCATCGCCATCTTTGCCTATATTACACCTCTCCTCCTACTCCGTCTTGTACTCGTACCGTTCGACAAACAAATTGTCCTCGAAACATCGACATGCTCCGCAAGGACTCATTTGTGCCGCCATCTTAGGAGAAAAATATCTGCTTATTGCCATAACTACCTTGCCTGACATGCAGAGGGGCTTTGGGAAGACATTTCCGGACAAATCTATCTTTTGGGTCGTTTCGTCTCGACCTGTCGTTGCTCAGTCCGGGCAAGTGGGCACACAAAGGTTCCAACACCTTGGCCTGCCGTTTGGTCACAACGGCCAAACTGATGTTCTTGTGCAGTGAACCGGATTTCGAGAGGACAGACGTGAGCTCTCTCGTGACCTTGACCATACCTTTCTGAGCTAGAAAAGTGACCAGGTTCGACCCTCTGCGTTACGACACGCAGGCTCTAGCTCACCCTTGCCATATAATCGTCATCGATACCAAATCACTATTCCAACACCAGTCAATTAATAGAATGTACATCAGTATCACTGAGTAAGCCTGGTCGCGTAGCGCTTGTACCTTTAGCACGGAGTCGTCGAAGCTTATCTCGCCAGATTTCCGCAGAACGCAATGCTTGCTGTAGCGTAAGAGAAAAAGGCCCGATGTTTCGCCGAGGAAACATGGACACACGCGGCGCGTCGCGCTGTCACCTTCTCTCCTTCCTCTCATGCAACTCTGCCTCCTCGTTCTATCCAGTTATATGCTCTGCGCTGCCTGACCATTCCTGTTCTCTGCTGCTCACGCCCTCAGTCTTGTCATCCCTGTGTTTTCATGGGGCCCTCCAGTTTTCCGCTAAGGATCGTGGATTGGATCTGTACTTTGTGGCCTAGTTGCCGAGCGGTCACGACCTTCTTTTGCAGTGCAAGGCCTTCTTCAATTCCTGTAATCTTCTCATCATTTCTGTTTTCTGTACGAGCTAGGGCTGTCCATTGTCGCCATAAAGCCCAGGTGGGAGGGTCACTCGTTCTCTAGCATCGAGGGCTTTCCATACATAGGTAGTTTCGAAATATTATGGCACATACGTCGGGAGAATCACCATCGTTCCTTGCCGCTGCTACTGTCATGACTGTGAATCTATGGCAGCGCTGATATGTATGTTCAGCTTCGCGTGTCTACCAGCTGCACCAGCAATAAGAACTGGAGGCTGCGGTTTTGCAAGAAGGTGTGCGCAAGCGTTGGCCAGACGGAGACGTGGGTGCGTCAACCCCGCTCGCCGAAGCTTATCAGTTCATCTTTCGATGTGCTGAAATACTTAGACATGTATTTCAGGGTACATATAGATTGGAAGCAATGCAGAACCCGTCGTCACTGTTTTGATTCATAAGATTTCGAGTAACTAAGGCGACCAACCAAGTCGTGGCTGATTGGCTCGTCCAACACCAATTGAACGGCTGCGGGGAATGCAGACTGTGTGGAGCCGTACACGTTCAATAGGCCAGAAGGAGTCTTGGGTGCGGTGGTGAGATTTCGATGGGAGGAAGCCAGGTCGTCCCAGGTACCGCTCTCTGGCACTTCTAGCGAGCCACTGTCCGTGGTTTTCACGAATCATGGAAGCAGAATGATGCGTTCACGTGGAGCCGGGCCAGGTGAGCCATGTGTCAACCCGGGGTGGAAGATCATGGACCTTGATGAGGGCCTAAAATACAATACCAGGAGCGATTGGCTACGTGGATGCAACTGGCAGAACTGGTTCCGCAACAAGCCGCTCCGCGTGATTATAAGCGTCTCCAAACTGCCAAAGATGACTCTTCCTGCTGAAACGCTGCATATTGGCAGCTGGTGCGGTCTTGACTGTGTAAGCGAGGCAGCAGATGAACGAACACTAGCTGTCATATGTGTGGCCACCCGTCATGTGCTCGATCGTTGTGAGCGCACTTTGAAGGCAACACCGCGCACCCTGCATTGTTGGCTGAACAGCTGGTCTCATTCTTACCAGCCCTATGACTTCAAAATTCTTCAAGCTGTAGCGGAGAGTCACTACAAGCAACCATGGTGTCGTTTCATCAGCTACGTGTATCGTGTTCGTGCTCTAGAACGGCGTCATTACGAACAACCTGGAGAGCTTTCATCTCTTCGTCTTACCTGTACGCAAGAGTCTGCAATAAATCGGGTCTGGTCTCTCGTTTTGGAAACTCATTCCACGACGACTGAGCGTAAGCTGATCGGTGCCGAAGACACGATAGCTAGATTGTTAGAGTCACTCTTTGAGTTGTTTCTCACTTTCTGGACCGACAGACCGAAGGACGGTAACCTTGAGCGCACACCCATTGCAAACTTCTCTGGTGTGCTAGGCATCGACCCATCCACGCTTGCGTTTCGGAAGCCCTATAACTATACGACCAACCTCTCAGCACTCATGTAGATAAGGCGTCTTCTACTGCTAGAGTACGCGTTACCCCTCCAGCCATATCTGCTTCCAGAGACCAAGATCCTGGCGGGAGACTCATACTCTGACTTTGGCCAGAGACTTTGTTTTGCGTGCGTCCACTCTACTTACAGCGGGGCAGCGTGTCTCCTATCGGCTACCCGATCTAACGGTTACAGCACGGTCGTGCTATAGCGAAGCGTGAAGGGCCACCTGCCACCGTACGGTGGTCTTCAGATGGTCGGACGTTACACGCTTATGGTGCCGACCTTACTATGGGCCGTTTCCGACAAACGGTCTGTGACGTGGTTGAGAGCACAGCACAGCAGATCGCAGACATGCTTTTCCAAGTACATATACCGTACAACCTCTCAATCTTGCATGACAGCATGTGTAACGACAAGCCTGGTTATTCTTTCTTGACGGACCCGAGAAACGGATTGAGGTCCAGCTTTCGATTGCTTACCAGAGCCGCTTTTTCAAAGCCCTGGGGATTTTCCATGGCAGGGAACGGACGCCGGAAAGCTTTTGCATATCTTCGTGGGCAGAAGCGACTGGTCAAGTCAATTCTAGCCACCATCCATCTCACGAGTAGCTCTCTCTTCTTGCTATAGCCTCCTAGCAGGTATGAGAGATCCCCCCACCTTGTACCTGGGGCCTCTTCCATCGCCGGCCTTATCTCCGCCCACCGAGGACATCTTAGCAGAACGTGCGCTACTGCTTCGTCCTCTATCCCGCATTGGCACTTCGCATCTTCCTCCACCCGGAGCCTCGCTAGGTTAGAGTTAAGATGTGTGTGGTTCGTGCGTGCTTAGACGAGCACCGCTGCTTGATCCGAGTCGAGTGATCCGTATAGCTTTAGCGCATGTTTCTCAGGCAGCGCCGCATCGAGTCGCTGTGTGTACTGTCCCAACGTGCCTAAGCCCGTCTTGCGTAGGCTTCCCTCTGCCTGACGCTTGACCTCTCTTACTACCAGGTCTCTAACGGCCCTCGACACGTCGCATACCGAGCATAGGAAGCATGCCGAACAACAATTTAATCTCTTTAGACCCGGTGGTTAAGCTCAGAATTACTGTCGACAATGCTCACGACTGGTTACAGTACAAGGCACTGTACAAAGTGCTTGTCTGTAGACATCACTGCTATGCTGTATCTGATCTCAGCAACCATCTACACACCGAGCACAGTAGGACTGCACAAGAGAAAGCTGCTGTAGTTACGGCATTCTCTCACTTAGACATCTTGCAGCCGACACAAGCAAGATTGCCGCCACCGCTAGAGCCCCCAATTCAGTCACTTGGCAGACCGCGAGACGCATTCATCTGCGATGAAGAAGAGTGTGGTGTTATTACCGTTAGTCGAGACGAGGTCCGTAAGCACTGCAACAAAAAGCACGAATGGCGGTCGACAAGGAATGACAGAGAGCACTGGCATCATGTCTACGTACAGTCTTTCTCTTCTGCAGGCGGTCGACAACGGTACTTTACTGTTGACTACGAGGGAGATGACATTGCAGAAAATTCAAAAGTCTTGAACAACAGTCTTGGGGATACTGTTACAACGAGACAACAGCGTGATCTCGCTACTTTACAAATCCTAAACGAATGGAACACAGCAAGGATGCAACACGATAGAGAACTCGAGGTTATTGATGACAATTTTGCAAAAATAGATCATTCGCTCTGGTCTAAGCGTACTGGATATCCGCAGCATCTTGCTGGAAGTGATTTCAGACATCCTTCGAATGGAAGTCGGCTAGCTGATAAAGACGAACAAGAACTGCAGCACGTTTCAAGACTAGTTGAGTTGCTAGTCGAGAATGGACTGTCCATCGACCATTCGTCCAGAACGCTGCGTTGAACTCCACTGGGTATGCTTCCACAATCTTCGGACACTGTGCGACAACGGGCGCAAGACTGCATTAACTGTCGCTCACCAGGGTGATGATCGACCTCCTCTTGTCCAGTCATCTTTCATGGCAGACTTCGCTCAAGATCAAACTGGCAGCTGTCGAGCTGATAGAGATGTCTATGGCAGTTTAAGTCTCACGCAGTATACACATACATAGCTTCTGGATGCATTATTATGTGATTGTGACGAATTGAGACGCCGGAAAGCGCAAGTAAACATCACGACATTGGATAGGGATTTTGCTTGAAGTGTGGCATTCGCTCGGTCGGCTGCTTCACCAAACCTCTGTCCGAGCCCGACAGTCCTTGGGAAGGCTATCGTAAAGGCCTATGATTCACTCGAGGTGGATAATGCGCCCTAGTAGCACTCCACAGGAGTCTCGAGGCAAGACCACGAATTCTCTGTATAGCCTGATCCTGCCATTTGCATTCACAGGGCCGCAACACGGGCTGACGATCAGATCAAGAATGAGATATCAATTGGGCTCAATAATGGCACGCTTCCAACGGCGGAGTATCCTCATACCCTACACGTCATGTGAAGGTGTTGTATTCCGGGTGTTACATATTAGCTCGATCCGAAGCACAAATCAGTCTCCTGGTCCGAACCCCCTAATTTTGCTGTCTGTTACCTACATCCGTTGTCTTTTCGATTGAACTATTCACAGATCGGACGAAAGTGCATCTCGAACTCCGCTTATGCTTTGGAATAAGTCATTGCAGTAGCGAGCGCGTACCATGGTAAGCTGGGAAAACGATACACCAGATAAACACGTGTCACGCGAGTGTTCGAGCACTCGTAGTTGTAGTCATGAGCCTCAGTCTAGAGCATCGTCATCCGAAAACACGCCATACATATATGAGGTGTGCAGAGACGGGCGCTAATTCGCTCATGTAGTGGTAAAATACCTGTATTATGCTCCCGAACTAAGACAGGGTCGATAGAATTAGCGTCGAGCGTATTTTAAGTGTCAGAGGATACCCAGCTGCCAAGCGTAATGCCAATACGATGGCAGACTGTAAATGACTACCCGCAAGCGTCAAGATCATATCGGGTCCGCCTACGCTATTGTCTTTTCACTGGATTATCTGTTGCCATATTGTACTCTACCATGGTAGCGAATAAGTGCTTCGAGTCTTTAGATGTACGTTTGTACGAGTCTTACCGCTCCTATCAATCACTGTCACTCGGCTTCTGCCAGATGTCACATATCTTGTACGGTCCTTCAGATCTAGAGCTCTTGCGCTGCACCAAATCACGCATCACATCTGCAAGCAGTGCGATCCTTGATCTCTTGGATTGAACAGACCGAAAAGTTGCTGCCCGACATCGACCACCCGAAGTACAGGGTCACTTGAACCTGCTTCGATATGACTTTTCATGATCAACGTCGTATCTCGTTTACTATCTCCTTCTGCTTCTGTATGGCTCTTGTGCTCTCGACGTTTGTTTTCCTGCGGGAATGCAGCTTGAGAGGTGAGATCGACAAGGCTTTCGTGGATGAGAGAAAGTTCATTTGCATCCCGTCGCTGAGGTGTTGTTACTGGTCAGGGTTGCGACTGTCAAAATCAGGTTCAAGCAAGTGTTAGGTAGTGTGGAAGCGCCAAACACATCGCGTCACTTTACTTGAGCTCCGGAGCTGTGCACGGACCACTGTGATCAACCAAAAAGTCAGATGCCTACCTAAGCTGTTTGCTGTTCACTCTTCACCCGCTTTGTCCATCGAGCACACTCGATTTACTAGTTTGCTTCAAGCCGAGATCCTCGCCCATTGCACCTCAGCTGATGCTTTGAACATTTAGCTCTGCTCCGACACCCTCGACCGAGCCTAGCAGCTTGACCTGTCCCTCTTGGTAGGCGCTCAGTCCAAAGCGCTTGTGAGCCGAGCGGTCGACATCACACGCGATGATCTTTTCGACAAACGTCTTTATGATTCTCAGCCTATCCAGTTCGTCATGGTCCCTCCAACTGTGACCCAAACACTCCAAAGCAGGGCGAGGTAGATTGCGCTTCCAAGCGATGATGCTGCCCATGTCACGCTCCGAAGGCATCATCCCTGTCGCCTGGTCCGACAGTGATGTGAGCGCTTGGAGTAGACGCTGCATTCTCTTATGCTCACCGTCAGATAGCTCGGTAGCCTTTGCGAGGATCGTATGAGCCATGATGCTATAGACACTACTGATGTAGACACTTGTGACCAGGATCGAGTCTGAGTTTCGGAGAATGGCCTGACGAACCGCTTTCTGCAGCGACAAGAATCTTTCCACACTTGCTTCCTTCGCCCGACGACCCACAAACGTACAAGTCCTGTAGATCTGACAGCTCCACGACATGACATCGACCTCATACATTGATCTACACAGAGACGGCAGTGCCCTGGACCGCTGGATTGGAGGTAGGTGTTCTGCTACACCGAGCAGGAGCTCGAATGGAAGATCTAAAAGTCCCATCGGGATGCCTGTTGCTAGAAAGTTGTCGCATCAGAGCCACGGTCTACTCATTCCCACCCTATCAGACTGGAGATTTTGCGCACACGTAAGTACCCTGCTTAGGGAAATGCTGGCATGGCCTCATGTCTGTCACATACTCGTCTGTGTTTGGTGAATCACATATAGGACCAACAACGCTATCGTGATACTATACCTGTAGCAATCATCGCAAAGGTTGACAACTTATGATGCGGTCGTGGTGTATGCCTCTCTGTGCTGATACTGCGGAAAGGATCGAGCGAGCCCGGAAGCTTATGTATCTACTCAGCGCTATGGCGTCGATCGTAGAAGGTTGGATATCTCGTTGTTCGTGGCATAGGTATTGCTCCCAGAATGGCAAAGATTGAACATGTTGGACATGCACGTGGGATGCTGGGCACGTTGAACAAGCTCCGGACACTGGTACTGTCGGAGTTTTGATCTTCTACAAGAGCCCTAAATTGGATTGCTGAATGCCCAGTCTGGAATATCCGGAGTACAAGCTCTTGTAGGGTCCTGTTCTTCTCGCGGCACTTTCCTGATATGACGTGATCAGCCTCAACTGACTAAAAGACAATGAATGGGACATGGTTGCCCACCTTCTAGGACCAAGTACTCTGAATGCCATGAAGGACTCGACCGTCACTGTTGATTCCATAAGGACTGATGATAGCAGACAACGACTAGCAGAGCCACCGTTTCTGGGCAGACTAACAGCTTCAGCTGCTCCAGGTCAAGAATCGATCAAGTCTCAACTTGACCGTCATCTTCATACTGAGCGGTCAGAGCTTCAGACCAAAGACTGCATGGAAGAGGAAGCCATACATATGCCAAGATGTGAAAAGCCGTACGGTATTTTAGCGTGTGCGAAAGCAGGTTCTTCTGCATGACTGCAAGCATCAGATACAGGCACCTGATTTGGAGGTGACTAATGTAGTCTTCTCCGTGCGTGTTCACGTGTTGTCAGGACGACTGAATGAGCGCACGTCGCCACTTATTGGTTTTCACCGACTCGGCCGAACTCATGGCGGTAATTATTCTATCATGACATCTCAAGAATCTCAGCTTCCAGTCTCTCGTTCCACCGCCATCTTCGTTTGAACTTCTGCAACAATTGTGTTCGTAATCATGCAAGTTACACGATACTTCGACCGATTTCCGACCTTTGAACACGATACCTCTGCTCCAATCCTTGTCGAGTTTAAAAGGCTCTCCCTGCATCGGAATTGGAAAATCGACTCCAAGAGGTATCGAAAGAATCTGAGAGCTTGCTTAAGAGAAGAATTCAGTCATCATTACGGAACGAACCAGTCGAGACTGGACTACTGGCAGAGTTTATGCATGGAAGTCGGAGTCCTGCCAGCTCCTTCTACCATCACTCAATGCAAGAAGGTCGCTTTCGACATACATAGCAGCGATACGTATCCCCTCGGCTGACACTCACAATTCAGGCCCTTAATACAGTATATGTCAATATTGTCGACCTTATTGATTCAAGACGTACAGGGGTACCGGTCATCTCGTTTCCATCGAAAAGAGCGCTTCGTAGCTACTCAAAGACGCAGAACAAGATCTTCCCAAAGGCAGAGGCAAAGCGAGATGGATTTGTCAAGGTGCTGCTCATAGACATGCTCTGACGGAACATAGATGTCCTAACGAGCTGCGGGATACTCCACATCACCTCTCAAAGTGTGTACCTCTAGTGATATCATGGTGTAACATTCGACCATGCTGACTCAGAGTTGAAAACCAATCATTGGACTCTTTACAAGCGCAGCTCTCTCGGCATTGAAGTTTCTGGTCTTGCACTGCCTGAGTCACCCGAAGCCCTCAAAGATACAGCAATCTCAGGTACCAGTGTGGAAGCAGCTTGTGAGCATAAACTGCTCGACTATAGCTACTGGAATCGGTTGCTATGACTGGGTTTGTGCGCGAGAAAACGACAGAAAAAGACTTTATTTGCTGCTATTACTGGGAGGCACAACTCGATCAGTCGGTCAATATTATAATCGCTGCTTCCCCAGCAAGTCTGTCTTTCGTCCTAGAGCCACGTACTAAGTATCATTGTATCGTGGACCGTCTTGTGAGCGTACGGAATAGTTATCGAAAAACATGATCATGATAGCTATGTCGAAGCCAGGATGGACAGCCTGGACAACGCGGTCGTTGAATCGCACAAGTGTACGCGATCGAATGTGCCAGAGAGTAGTCTAGACTCAAGGTCGCGGGTGATGTTGACGACATCCTCTTCTGCATGATAGCTGCATGGTTCTGCTTGTTGACGTCTCCCTCGCCAACCTCTACTGGGGGACACCATCTGACTCCAAAGTTGCCATGACAAGGTCGAGCCTCAAAGTTGCCTGGGTGGCATCTCAAGTAAAGATTGCAACAGTAACATGAAGGCTTACTGCAGCCTATATAACGGCCGTTTCCGAAGAACTGAAGCTGATTGAAGTAGAAGTGCTCCATCATCAGCGTCTCAGCATTTACTCTGGGTACAAACTTGGGATCGTTGTAATTCTCCATGAACCTTGCAGCAAGATAATTACCCGATGCAGATTGTAGTGCCTGTACTTTGGAGTCATGGAGCTCACTGTTGTAGTTTGAGAGCGTGCGAAGTAGAGCTCGTTTGAGGCTCATATGCTCGTGAGTGACCCTGGTCGCAGTCCTGCCAATCTTACTCACAGGCATGACCTGAAAATTTTCAAGGAGCTGTGGATTTTGTCTAGCAATCGCCACCACAAATCTTGATGCTACAGACCAGGATCCAAGTCGGCCGATATAATGGCGGATCCAGTACCAGCCGCGCCTCAAGGTGTCATTTTCTGCGTTATTGCACAAGTTCTGGAAGGACTCATGGTGCCGCAGACCATATGCCGTACTGCACCGTCGTCGATAAAATCGTATTTCTAACAGTCCGCCAACTATGCGGACAAGTGCTGTCAATCAAACTGTCAGCACACGGATTTTGAGCTTATATCGCCAAGCATAACGAACATTTATTGTCATCACTGCAGATTTGCGCTTCGACACAAGCAACATGTACGCATCAGCGTTAGAGCGTCGTAAAAGAGTTCCGTCTGATCGTCTCGAACTCGCTGCGAAGAAGGACGGACAGTTGAGCTGGCCGCATCCATATTCTTTTTTTTCCTCGGAGAAGCGGTCGGATTAGATCCAATCAAGATTGGTTGGTATGCTTCGGGCAGGAATAAGAGAACAGTGCTTACGTAGCTATGGAGAACTCACGTGCTCTGGTTGTATCCTCGCAAGGGATTCCATAGATTACAAGCAAGAGTAGTTGAAACACCAATCAGAGGCATCCACGTTGACACGAGTCAACCGTGCAGTGACATCAGTGCTACAAGAACGAAACATCCAACCAGAGAGACACCATTCCTGCTGCTTGTGACGACTGGACTAGACTTTGACTTTTGTTGTCTCATAGCGATTCGAGGATGAATACATGAGTGAGGTATGTGCATCTATCATCTGCGTCGAGCTGCGCTGCTATCCTCTTGCTCTCCGAAAGTACGGTCCTAGTTGTTCCAAGTGTTTCACAGATATTGACCATCTGTTGCGCTTCGGACGGACTGAAAACAGATCAGATCATTCAAGAACTACGGATCTGGCTGAAGACGTAGCTTGAGACAAGCGAATGAACCACTATGTTTTGACTAAGCGAAACGTATACCCAGCCTCTCGCACATCTTCATGGAGGCAATATGTTTCGCATCCCTTTTGTTTCCGGCTTCGCCATACTCCTTCAGCCCTCTCAAGGACACAATCCACTTGAAACCAGGGGGGTTTAGCGAGACCGTGATGAACCTGTAGAATGGTTTCTCGGCGATACGGTCCCCATGCTCTTTCAAAGCCATTGTGTATTTTGCCATCTCCCCATAAGGATTTTCTTACTAGTTTGTAAGAGTGTCATATTGTCCCTCTGGTTGGCTGGAATCTGAAATTCCTTGTGGAATGGATTCCGCACGACCGGTCGATGTCTTTATGTGAAGGTGCTGTCGAGAGTGACTTGCGACATCAGCTTCTCAGCTTTTACGAAGGCATGCTAGCAAAGCACTCTTCTCCTTCCTTCCACTGGTATGGAAGATGTTGCCGACGAGTCTCAACAAAGTCAAGCGACTCGTTTTAGTCTCGCGAGCAGCAGCGCGGCAGCTTGCTGTTGTAGCCAGGTCTGTCTATGCCTTGAGCTTGCAGAGATGTCAAGATCTCGTCGTATGGGTATCGCTGGAGCTTCGTATCTAGCTTGGACTGAAAACCGTCAGCACAGCCTCTTTGTACAAGATGGTGTTCCATGAAACTTTCGTAAATCAGCAGCTTCCAACGACTTCCGGTCGATTGGGTCGATCGGGTCACGCAGGACTTCCTCTGCGACGGTGGACTTCAGATACATCTTTCCAAACCAATAATCAATAGTCATGAATGTCTCAGCCTCTGCATCCGATTCCATGTCTTCAGTATTCGATTCTGAGAAATTCTCATCGTCCATGGACATGATCTCAAGATCATCCCTGAGAGAGGTGAATCATCGTTGATCGGCATAGTAGCTCGCGGTGTCACACTGGGTCGTCAGTATACGGCAAGCTGAAAGATCATAGCGATTGTGGCCGGCCGGGTGTAGCAGCTTTGTACTCGTCAATCTAAAACCACAAGATCGGGATTCATGCGTCATGAACGTTGGTCCTCAAGCTATGAATTTTGTCAACGCTGATATACGCCAGCTCGGTTATCCCGAACACAGGAGAAAACTGATTCGATTGCAAGCCAGCACGCCAGTGTCAGTCGAGAACGATCGCTCTCGGAATAAAGCTCTGGCCTCTGGCATTACAAGACTTCGCGCGGAATTTGATTGGAATTCTCGAATCTCACATTTGATTGGCCCCAAGATGCGAAGCTATGAGCGGCAGTGGCTGCCAGCAGACAGCTGATCTGTTCGTACTCGTCTGGATGTTGTAACAAACTGGACTGTTGAGCCGGAACCAAATGCCTCAAAGCCTGCACCATTGGCACTGTGATCGCAGGCGCAGCTTGTTGCGGCGAGCAGAGGATCGAACGCGCTGATGTGATTGGTCGCTGGCACGTGAGAGGACTTAGCAGCGTCAACACTCAACGAACGTATGAAGAGAGCTAAAAAGCCGTACGGAATTTTAGTGTGTGCACGGACTTGACCATCCATACTCGAAGTCTTAGATAAGAGTGTGTGCGTTGGCAAACCACCCACAGCCTAGGCGAAGCGTGGAGGAGTGCATGTGTTGATGTACGCACACATCAAGCGGCAGGCGCTACATGTTAGCAGGATGCAAGTATACATACCAGCGAATGACTCGACAACAATTCATTCGCGCTTCATGAATAAATTGCATGTGCATGTCCTGACTATGGCCTGCAAAAGGATGCAGTCACTACCAGTCGCAATCGAAGGAGCCAGTAGGATTTAGTGGATGCACTCAGGTCACCACGCTCGAAGGCACCATCCTACTACTATAAATTTGCGCGCTTTCCTGGACAAGCTGTATGTCGCTGGGTGCAATCGGGATCCACGACAGTCCGCCAGCAATGTCCCCGCTGTCATGTCTGATCACGAGGGTATCCGGAGTGTGCCCAGTGCGGTTTTGTCATTATTGAACGTCACGCTGACTGGGGACGATTCGCAAGTATCTCACGCCTTGTTTTACAATGATTCTCCGAGGTTGACAGTGATAAGGACTCGGAGATCCTGGAATCGGTTTTGGGTAGCATACTGATGCTACAAAGATCTAGACCAGCACTCTTCAAGACTCTCCCTTACACCATCCGGGAAAAGGGTGAGAATGACAGAAGGTGTTTGGAGATGATGCTTCGAACCAAGCTCCCAGAGCCCCACACGATTGAGCTTCTCGGGGAGAATCTAGCTGATTGGCTGAGTGACCGTTCTCACTTTTGGAAGCACCCGAGCCTCACTCAAATACGCCAGCTTCCGCCCGCAGCACGAATTGCAGGCTGTTATCTACGAGCGACACGTCTTGACGCGTAGTCACGTATCCTCCAAAGATGTTGCTACATCATGCTAGTGGAACTCCAAGCCCAGGTCCCGTCGCTAGATTGGGCCGTAACAGCTGAAGCTCTGTCCGTAGGCGGTACGCTGTGTAAAGGCTTTGCCGAAGCAAAAGAAACGTTAGATTATATGCTCGATGCGCGATACCGCTACAAGAACCTCGAGGCTCATGTGGGAGCGGGAGTGACATTTCTCCTGGGCACTGAGCTCTCAGAGTTGTGGTAAGAGTGCAAAGTCAAAGATGCCTGGTCCTAAGTGTAATTTAATTGAGAGCATAGTACCTCACTTGGATGCGAAAAAACTGTTCTGAGAGACCGACAAGATCGTGCCTGAGACCCGTTGGATCGCGCAGCCAAAATTTCCAGACTTTGTCGAGGAGTCGCAAATGTCTCTGTATATGTTTGTACTCTTGCACAAGCAATAAGCCTCAGTGACAAAACTAGCGCCTTCCTCATGGATTGACTTGATCTTCCGGTCCATGCGCACCTCGACCACTCTCGTCGCCAAATCTGTCGAAAAAGTCCACATTTCGACTCCACTTTCGGAATGGAATAATTGCCAATCCTCTTGATGAATGGTTCAACCTTCGATCTCCCTAACACCCGTCCACCTGCTATCTCGGAGCGTTCCTACCCAAGGCATCCTGATCAGGGACCTTGCCTTGCTTTGGTCCCCAACTCTAATGCAGTGTGGCTTCTCAATTGTTGTCGTTGCTCCTACATGGAAGCTGCAAATACAGAAGAGGTACGTGTTGTTGCGATCCGTGTGTGTCATTCTCGCCAAATGATCCGCACACGTGCGGCCGCTTGATAGTTGCTTTGAAAGCTAATGCAGAAGGCCAGAACATACACTCCAGCACCTCAGAGACAGGGATGTTTTACAGCTTTGCGATACATTCCTTCGTCAACACTCCCGATACCTTGATCTCATCTAATATCTCCTGATCAGTGAAGCGGACATCAAAAGTGAGCTCGTAAGGACCGGCGTTCTTGCTTCGTACCATAGCAGCAACATCACCGAGGTAGCAGTATCCAGTCGGTGGACGAGGCGTAAGGAAAGATTCCCGAGATCTTGAATCAAACTTCGACACTACTGTAGACTTGATCTTCGTCTTTCTGATTTGCTGGGATGAAGGCAAGATAGGACTGTATGGCTTGATGTCGCTCTGTGGCGATACTGTCTCGTGAGAGACGGGAAAGAGCTTCGTCGGATCATCCATCTCCATCAGATGGTAGACACAGAACTTGCATGCAGGACCGAGAGACAGATCGCAGAGGTTGCTGACTGTAGCTACCTGGTGAGAGTAGGGCGCATGCATGAGATATGTCCTCAGAAGTTTGCATGTCTCTTTTGCTTGTGCTGTGATTTTTGCACGGACGTGTCCTTTATGGCTATTTCTTTCGACACTGATCGAGGAACAGACTCGCGCGACTCTATCACACCGTTGTTGCCATGAACGTGTATTTTACAATCGAACTCGAAACCTAATTTATTTCCATGGCCGCGATAACCTCTAGTTTGAGTTCGTCTATCTGGCCAATGAGGTCTGACCTCGAAGCGGGATGGCTCTTTTCTGACAATGGCCAATGCGGAAGTTGATTTCGGCGTAGCACATGATGCACCGTATTCCATGATCTTCCCCATGTGGTAGTCGACTCCGGGGTCTTTGAAACCTCGAAAAGTACAAAACGTAACGGAAGGAGCTGGGTTGTAGGATCTACCCACGACAAGGATTTCGAAGTCTGGATGCTCTATCGTTGCTTTCTGTATGAGTTCAGGGCCCATCTGAGCCACGCTCAGCCGAGTATCGTTGACATCCCGTTCCTGCAAAGGTGGAGCTGCGCCGCAACTTGTGATCATCCATCCACGCGTTTTTGTTGAATCAAAGCTTTGGAAACACTGGCTTTCACCGCTACCACTTTCATGGATCGATAATGATGTAAGCGAATGGTGCTTCTGGTCATCTCGAGGAACATATCGACAGCATCATCTTCTCCATTACCGCCAGCCGAGGAGATGACTACCGGCACGTGATGTGAGTGGCATGCTTTTGCGATCACTGAATATCCTCGACAAGGGTTTCGATTATACAGCGTGTGTGACATCTCAGATCACTCTTGTGTACGTGCCAACATATCTCTGTTCATTGCAATGATTTTAAAATGTGTCGCTAAACACAACTATCCAGTGACGGAGAAAGAGGCATCGTACGCTATTGCGACATTCCCGACGAACAGCTCTTCGACAACTACATTTATGAAGATGGGATGCAGCTATTGATCTGGGGACAGCTTCCAACATTCGAGCAGAAGATACAGTTCCGAAGGTCGATGGCAAGACTGCTGCTCCTCCCCATAGTGTAGTGGATGTCATCTCCGCATTTCCGTATGCAACTCTTTGCCATTACGTGTGCAGTTTTACTAATATCGTCTTCGAAGGAAATCTGCAGAGATTTTTCCTATGCTTATCGCAAGCTTGAGCGCTGACCCTGCTGCAGATAATCTGACTTGCCAATCTCTGGGGTAATCACTCTTCGATCAACTTATGAGACAACAGACCAGCAATACAGACCAAGCCCTTTCCAGACTTCCGTGTTCATGGCTTCATTTTCAAGATGATTAGTTCTTAATCTGCAAGTCTCTGGGACCATGGCAAGAGAAGAAAAGCTCAATGACAGTGCGATGTATAGTGGTGCCGAACCTCATCACAACTAAGGTGAAACCCCAATCTCTTGCCCAGCCCACCCGTTATACACACACCAATCGCATGCCAGGTATCCCGCACATTCACACTGCGCACCGTCGGGACCATGATACTTTCCACACAGATCCTTGGGCTTCTCTTCCGGACACGTTTCACAGGCCTCCCTGGTCGCGTGCTGGAAAATTCCGAACCCTATCGAGCTAGAGACCGCCCCCGTGTAACCCGCCGCCATCGCCTGGCAAAATTTTGCTTCGATAGGGTTGAGCCTTGCACAGACCGCAACCATACAGTCGTGAAATTCGTTGTTGCATTCCGAGAAGCCGCGCGCACAAGTCGAGTAACAGGTATCGTGGCCGTTACAGCAGGCCGCGAAGCGGTACTCGGGAAATTTGAAGCCTTTCGAACCGCAGCCGTTGGGTGCGAGACTGGGGTCGCTCAAAGGGACTCGTTGGGCTGGGCTGCTGGATTGGCAGCGGCTGGCTGAGATGAAAGTTGCCTTGTTACGTATGGCGAAAGGGACAAAATTAGAGTAATTGATGGAAAAGCGTTTGTCGAGCGAGCTTGTTGTGTCTGGCAGTGCAACGGCGTAGTTGTTTTTGTCTGTCGCGAAATGATATGTTTGTCCGTTGTAGGTCATCACCATGTCCCCATCGCAACCGTCTGCGCGCCATATACCTGTATTTGGACCAGCTGTGTGGTTCCAAACCATGTAGCCGGTAGCAGGAGAATACCCTAGGAACAAGCCAACATAATTTTCGACTCTAAGGTCGTAGAAGCCAGGATTGTATTCCGAAGGAGCAAAGAACAATCCTAGAGTGGGAGGAACAGTAGATGCTAGGGCAATGCTATCGGGAGGGTTACTGCCATCCTCAGCGTAGTACCAAGCCAGATAGTAGACGTTTGTGCCGTTGCCGATCCCCAAATTGATTCTGGTGCGTATAGTGGTTTGATTGATAGCACAAGTGTCGAATACACATCGTCCGCCGAAACATTCAAAGTCCCCACAGTCGCGACCTATCCACGTAGGGTCGTAACCACAGTTATGAGAATCTGTCATACTACCAGGGGTGGCGCATATATTGTTGGCGCATATAGTCTTTGCAGTATTGTTTGAGCAGTCTGATGCCGTTTCACAGATCGAAACGTCAGAGACAGCAGCCGAGGACGAACTAGTAGGCATTGACGAAGCAAGAGTCGAGAGCGTGGAGGTGAGGGCCATAGTAGGAACTGCCGCAGAGGATGTGGAGAATGTGGAATAATCAGAAGTCAGAGCAGCAGAAGAGGCCGAACTCAAGACAGAAGAGGAAGAAGAGGGAGAAGAGGAAGAAAAGGAAGAGGAAGAAGTAGAGGTAGACGTATCGACCGTGAAGATCGATCCAGAAGGTGCAGTAGTCGAAGCGATAGGGACCAAGGAAGCAGCGACAGAGCTTAGAGCGGATGAGATAATCGATTGGGGACTTATGCTACTAGAAGAGGCAATACAGGCTGAGGTTGGAATGCCATTGCTCGAAGTATTGACAAACGCATAGCTGAAACCTATGGTGTATCGATCTGTACCAGAGGTGAATCCAGTATTGGTGGCGAATGAGGATGACCATGCTCTAGAGTACATGGAGCAATACCGTCCGACACTCTTGCCGTTTTTGTACAAGAGATATGTTGTGAAAAATTGGCAGGTTGGAGTACTTGGATCGGCAGCTTTGTTGGCAATGCTCATTGCTGAGCAAGCAGTAGCACATAGGCTGGCGTCAAAGGGTTCGTTGGTGAAGATCCTCATACCGAGATAGGAATCATCATGATTGCAATCTTGGGTTGAGTTGATGGTTGAGCTGCCAAGGTAAATTGCGCCGGAATAACTGTATCTCTTCGTCAGCGGGCCCGATGACCATTCCAATTTATTTTTCATACCCTGGTGGCGTGTCTATAGATTTGTTCACGTAGCCATTGCTGCCGGTAATTGCAACCTGGAAGCTGTTTCTCCATTGACCAGTGTTGACAGCATTTTCTACAGTCACAGGTCCACTCCAAAGCACGCACTAAAACCCTTTGTCAGCCAGATGACATGTGATATGAGTTTCGTACGCACCTTTATTTGTGTAGTACTAGCAGGATTGGCGCAAGACGGGCTGTCAGGTTCTAGACCAGGGTCACGTTCGAAATCTGTGAGTGTAAGAAGTTGTATCGAATCGCAGATTGAAAGGATTGCCTACAGATGTTCTCCGCCTGGCAGACGCTTATTTCGTCACATTTGGCTGCGCAGGCCTCAACGTCGTATTGTTGGAGAAGGCTATAGCCTAGGTACCCATATGCATTGTTCGAGGCATTGAGATTCATGAAAGTGGTCGTATAGCCTTGGGGCGTAGATGCTGATTTTGCGATATTTGCGTAGTATGGATCGCGCAGAAAAGCTTGGGCAGTGTCCTCGGAGCTCTTGTGGTCAATCCCAGAGGGTTGCGGTAGGCAAGATACTGAGACTGTAGCTCGCTTCTCCATAGTATGCTCGTTTTCATCAGCGATGATGGCTGCGGAGACCGAAACTTGTGCAGCAGAGATAGCGATAGTCACACTTGTAGCGGTAGCAGTGACTGTAGGGTTCGTTGCCGCCACATAGACTACGGGAATCGTTGCAGCGAAAATTGGTGCAGCTGCGTCGATGGCTTCTATGTCAAACCGTTGTGCCAAACCTTTTGCAAGATATAAAACAACAGGCAAAAAGGTTGAGCGCGTGTTGAAAAGGTCGCCGGGTGGCAGACTTCGTGTTTCAAAGGCTGAAAAGTGGCAAAGACAGATAGGAGACGAGAAACTGGCTGCTCATCATGAGGGGCCTGAGGGTTGGGTATAAGAATACCAACTCGAGGGCAAAGCTAGAAAGCTTAATCGAGGCATCCCCAATTGGGGCACAACACATCTATCAATTCGTAGGCTAAACTTTATATCCATATTGCTTTCGTTACAGCACAATAGAAAGACGCGAAAGAATTGGATGCGAAAGCGCAAAGGAGGCTCTAGCCACGGACGTCGAAGCCCGTATTTTCAGCCTCTTACTTAGCACAGACCACTCTTCCTTAGCTGCAACTCCCAGCTTCAGTTCTAGAACATGGAAGCGAAGATAATGTCTTCCGCTTTTCAACCAAGAACGACGAATCATAGTATGCAGGAATTATCGCACCATTCAGGATTTCAATATAAGTACTAGTTGGCTGGATATCGTCGTCAAACCATGGTCGTCGAGGATTCCGAAGTCTGCCAAGGCTTGCGCGCACGACCCGCTGCAAACCAGGTCACCCTAACACCAATGGCAGATAACAGTATTGAACAGAGAGTAAGCTGCACTTTGATGCTATATATTTATTTCTTCATTATCTTCATCCGAAGAATCATGATAGCCCGGTAGCAGGGGAACCACGAGGCAGTGTGACAGGCTCTATGATGCGATGTCCACGAACTTTCTTCATGCGATAATTGCCAGTCTGGCGTATAATGACGGTTCAGCACTAGCATCATCAGAGTTACCATATTCATCGTCAAACTCAACAACAATAGCTTCGCTGTTTTCGCCACGTTGCTTCTGTCTTTTAGGATCTGGTTCTCTACTAGTAGCAGTCTCATGTTATACCGCAAACTTTCTCTTATCAAGACAGCTGATGTGGACTTTGGAACTGCTGGAACCAGTGGTTTTATCTCGAGACGATCTTGTTTGATGCCGGTTGCATAGGCGTTCACATTCTCATTGTACGACTTGAAATCATTAAGTACCAATTTCGAAGTTTTTTCCTAACGCGTGCCAGGCTTACGCTGGGTGGGGTCGATTCTTTTGTTAATTGCAGCTTGCCAGCCGGCAATAGCTCCTGTAATGTCTGGCACATTGGCGCAGGTAACGGCAACGTAGGTCATTACCCGTTTTGAGAGATCTTTCACCGACTTAACAGGTCGTATAGACACCGGAATCTGGTCATACCGATCTTCGCCCTAGTGTTTTGCAATTCAATTAAGATGGATTTTCTTAGTCCACTGTGCTAACGAACTAACGACGACCATAACCCGGACAATTAGGGTTAGCAACATTTTAATACGCTCCTATATAAGCTATTCTTGCTCGTCTGACTACCTTCTATATATAAGAAACTAACACTAGATTGATTGCTTGATCGATCCAGTCGTTCTCGTCTGCTACGTGAAACTACTCGACTTGCGAAGGAAGTGAAGCACCGACTTTACTTCGGGCAGGGGAATAGTTATTAAGGGGTAGAACTAACACGTATGTGTTGATTAAGTTAGTTAACTACTGTTATAATTAGGAAGCTCTTATGTTACGGCCTCTTTACATTACCTAACTTCCTCCTACTATATTTATTACCCTAACTGCTATATTATAACATAATCTTTACTTAGCTAGCTAAGAAAGCTATTCGAGTAAGGGCGTCTTTAACTAATGTGCTTAGCTACCCTATGCATTAAGTGGCTTATACCTATGCACATTGGTGCCGCATTAGTATCGGTGTAGCCGAGGTCGAACTCTTTCGCTACAACAAGAGTTAACGGCTAGCCCGCTAATCACGGACCTGGGGACCGCGATCCTGGTGTCGGCGACCAAACGCCGATCTAAATTCGGAAGCGATACCCCACCTGCATTTAGTGTCCGCCTGCTGAGCAGAAGCACCCTTGCTTGCGGTACCGACGGTTTGTCTCTGCGGTCCAAAAATAAATTCAGTCCAATTTGGCTTGAGCTGCGGCTGAAGAATTGAGTTCTTGCACCTCATCAACGCGGTGGGACTTGCGCACAGGCTGGTTCTCTATCGAGTCGCCGCCAGTCGACGACAAGGCTTTCTGCCCTGAACTTGTGGGCTTGCGCAGTACGAATGACCTACAAGTCATGCGTGAGTGAGATACAAAAAATAGACAGACAGACAAGTAGTTGCCAATATTTTTATAAGATGCAAGATATGGAGTCTTACCGACCGCTGAGTGTACGCGGTGATCCGCGCAGCAATGTGCAGTCCAAAACTTGCGTACGGAAAAAGGAAAGATAGACTTACAGACATCCTACGCGTTCGCCATGGAGCGAAGCTTTGTTCTATACCTGCTTCAAGCCGAGCGAGCTTGGCATCTCCGCACATGGGAAACACAGAGGAATTCCGCAAGAATCACATCTCATCAACTCGTGCCTGCAATATCTTTAGAAAGCCGCGGCTGTGTAAAGCGTAGGTGATGACAAAGTACGTATGGGTGCCGTCATTTGCAGTATCGGTCTCGTGTTTCTTCCTTCGCATAGCTCCACTCATCGTACGCCTGCGAGTCATAGTCACAGCACAGCCGCACTGCAGACGTTGCGCGATGCGTTGCTCAGCCATCTTGCGATCTAGAAGATACACCACTAGCATTTCAAGCTCAGCACATGGCTAGCGCCTTGAATTTGTACAAAGGGACGTCAGAGTAGACACGAAAGACGAAGACGCAAGAAAACTACCCCGTGAATCATCATCAAGTTATCACAACACCTCTTCAGATGTCGCCTACCAAGGATGGAGCTGCTAAATTCAATCATGATCAAATCGTACTGGCTTCAGAACAAGGCCAAGAAGAACTTGTAAAATCATTACTAGACCAAGGCGCCGACCCCAATGCACAAGGTCTAGACTACGGGACAGCTCTTCTCGCAGCTTCAGAACTAGGCCACGACAATATCGTACAGCTCCTGCTGGAGGCGGTTGCAGATGCTAATGGCCAAGGTTCTAGAGAGGAAGGAAGCGGACTCTACCCACTCTATAAAGCTTCAATGGAAGGCCACGATAAGATTGTGCAGATGCTGCTGGCTGCCGGCGCAAATGTCAACGCCGAATGTGGAATTTTCGGCAGTGCGCTGTCAGCAGCTGTGGCCAAAGACCATGATTCAATTGTGCAGGCGCTGTTATCTAAAAACGCCGATGTCAATGCTAGAAGCGTACACTGTGGATCAGCACTGCTGTTAGCCACAATCCAGGGGGATGAGAAGAAGGTCCAGTTGCTGCTCTATGAAAGAGCAGACGTCAATGCAGAAGATGCAGATCTCGGGACTGCCTTGCTTGTGGCTTCCGAAGATGGGCCTCTTGAAACAGTACGAGTCCTACTCGATGGTGGTGCACATGTTGATGTACAATGTGGAGATGGCAGCAATGCACTCTATGCATCCTCTTCTGCAGGACATGACAAAGTCGTTCAGCTACTGCTCGACAAAGGTGCAGACGTTAAAGCGCGAGATGGACAGCATAATAGCGCACTCCATGCAGCTCTAGCTAACGGGCACGACCTCGTCGTGCGAATACTGCTCGACAATGGGGCAAATGCCGATATCCAAGGATAAGCAATCCCAAAACTGTTCCTCTGCTCTTTGGGACTGCCATTTATCACATGTATAAGGTCATCTCGACATTGAGCTAATGTATCCTGCCAACGAGTGTGCCACTGAGACCCAGTGTGCTACTAAGAAGCACGCACACCATAACCAGAATTGCTGAACTCTCCGCACCGTTACGATGCTGCTAGTACTCCTTTGGTTTCTGTGCTTTTTTGGTCTTGCTTGCTTGGAACTAACTTGCCTTCCTAGAGGTTCTAGCCACACTGTGCGATCAGCAACTCTTTTCGACAGATGCGACTCTTCTTCGTTGTGCGAGAGTGATTCCACCCTTAAAGATTTGGACTACATGCTTCGATTCCCTCTTTTCGACTTGCCGGCAGTACGCTTGCTTAAGTGCGGCAAAAACAAACAATGTCCTATAGCTGTAAGATGTAACGAGATCCAAATAACACATGGAAAGAAGTTTGGTATTCTGTAAGCTTAGCAGTAGAGTCCAGGGCCGGGAAAGTAATCATTCCTAAGGTTGTCTTATACAAGCAAACAACACATACCAGTCGTTAAAATCATTACTATGCTTATCAACACGCTGGAAGAGATATAAAGACCGGCATTGCATAGGTCGCTCTGGCTAAGTAAGACTTCTGATGTTGCATGGTTGAACTCACGCTACATGTGACCGGATTCAATGAACTACGCAGAGCCAGTATGTTGCACAGCATGGACGACACGATGTGGCTGGATTAACGCTAGCTATACTTGCGCTGAGTGATCCCTCAACATGCGAGTCCTCAGGTCTCACGAACTGTGCTGCTGAGTTTGCTCATCCTCATCATCTGCCTCTTCCGCCTGACTCGAATTTTTCTTGGTGTAGCTTCTCAGACGCTATTGTCGACCTGAAAAGAACGAGTCGAAGCCAAATACCGGATGCAATGTTGCAGTGTATCACGGACGAATGGACTGTATATTCAGCGCTCTCCTCTATGTTGATCTACGATCGTTCCACGGGCTACTAAGTCAGGACACCGACCATGATCTCAAGAGTCAACCATCTAACCCCATCACGTCCGACACCATTCTTCAGGTTAATGGACAAGCTGGATTAGTATGACTACAGCTGCACGTTGGTAGCTTCTTGATATGCGCCTTGACACTAGTTTGCATCGAGGACAGCTGAGGGAAGATGTAAGAGTCCCTTGGTCAAGAGCTTGATATCATTGTTGCGGAGAGCACGGGGCTAGTCTGGATGATATGCTCGACCAACGTTAGATCTCAAAACGGCACTCAGGTCAACACGGGTAGATTAGTGCAGTCAGCTCCCTCTCGACTGAGCTTCCTGGCGCGTCAGTCTTTCGCGAAACACGATCTTTGTACTGAGGGAAGGAACTACGCCGGATAATGAGTCATGGTTTCATCTGCTCCAAAACCGTACTTGACATGCAGGACTAGACTGTAGTGCGATATATCATAGGTCGAAACTAGTGTACGGACTTGCTATTGCACATTCTCGTAATTACAACTGCTTTGGACACCACAAATGTAACAACGCATTATAAAGATCTGGGATTTGACGCCAACTTCAATGGTTGAAAAATGACCACAACTGCGGAGCTGCACCGACTTCTGGTTTAAATGATCAAGAGTGAAGGACCAAGAAGCAAAAGAAGGAAGTATCCCAGGTTTGCCGCCTTTCGCGGGATTGATCTTCTACCGTCATAGCTGCTTGTTGTTGTAGCTGTCGTTGCCGCAGTCGTCGTTGTCGTTAGCACCAACGTATCGCTAGTGGTAGATGGACTTGCCGCAAAGCCCGCCGTGGTCAAAGAGGTGGATTGTGGCAATGGCGATGCCGACGATGCCGTTGATCTCGACGAAGCTCGAGGCACAACAGCTTTGCACTCGCAGATCAGGCTCTCTTCGTTGTTTGAATTACCAATAAAGCAGCCATCGTGTCCTCCATCCTGTTTAGCCACACTCGTGGTCCCGCTTGTACATTGATCGACCTCGCCGTCTAGAGTATGATATTGCGTAGATCCACAGCCATAAGCGCTGGATGTAGTCTGCTTACAGATGCAGGGACCTGTGAACGACTCGTGGGTCCAGTCACCACTACCTGACGAACTCGCAGTGAACGACGATCTCGCCGCCGTCGACGTCGACAATGAAGCTGATACTGCAATGTTGACGTCTGACCCTACTGTCATAGACAAGACAGGCCTCAGAACCTGCGGATTGGAGCTGAAGGATCCGGAGCAAAATTACATGCGGGTGGCAGAATCGATGTGGCCATTCTGGTCGATGAGCTTGACATTCTCGACTTCGGTATGCGTGGCCAGACAGTCGTCCCGACCAGTCTAGAAATATGCTGTCTGGGCCGTTGTCGTCTGACAGACCGTGTAAAAGTCGTGGCTTGGATCCGTGTAGATGACGCAAGAGCAGCCGGTACTGTCGGTGTAGGCATTGTATCTGCAAGCTGATGTTGAAACTCGGTAGAGGAGGGTCCCATCCCCTCCTGGAGTGACGCTCATGTTCAAGCTGAAGACAGACTGCTCAGTGCTTGCCCTTGGAAATGATGTGTCTGAGAGAAGATCTAAGGAGGCGATGTGGTTAAGATAACCATGTGTCTCTTTGTGGCGTCCAAATGAGCTGAAGATTATGCCGGGACGTGAAAAGACCTGGGCGGAACACCTGAGTCTTGGTGCGCACTATTGAGATTGGTGGCGGCCAACTTCTCAATTCTTGGTTTGCTACGGCGTGTGATTCGAACAAGTATGGGCGGACTGTACTCTGGAGTGGAGTCGTCATTGAGTAGGCTTTGAGCTATACGACGTGACAGCGGAAGATGATACCACACTGGCCCTTTCACGACGGCTTGACGCTAGGTGAATATCCCGCGACAGTAAAAAGGTCCCGGATGCATACTCTAGAAGGTACATACATCTCGAGCATGTTCTAGATGCGTCCGAACAAGACAAACCAGACCGGTGAGCTGAGGTCAAGTCTAGCTTCTTCCCGTAGTGGCGCAACACTTGCCGGACCCGGCACGACGCCTGGCTTGAGATTATCGATGGTCTCAAAGCTGTAAGTCAGGCGAGGTTCTAGCCATTGCACAACAACCAGCAGAACTAACCACTCATTTCACGTTGCTCAAAAGCGGTTCACCTCTAGCTACACTGGTATCTTCTTTGCTTGCTTAAAGCCTGTGACAACAACGCGGTAGTAGCGCCGAAGTTGGCTGCTGTAAATCCAGAAGCCACGCGACAAGATGTCACTAGTAAACTGGAAAATGAGCGGCTCAGCTGTGCCTGCCAAGCCTGCCAAGCTGAAGACTTCTCGTCGAGACAAGAATAATTTCAGATCACAATGTCAATTCTCCTGCAGAGGAATGATGCGAGTTCTTGCTGAACCATCGCGTACACCAAGCGGTCGGTAGGATCCGATACCTTGCATCTTGTGGACATGTTGGCAATCACTCGTTTGTCTGTATGTTGTGCACCTGATTCGACACATGGCTTGCAGATCCTGTGTACCACGCGAGCACAAATCCGGTATTACGAGTATATTCAAGTCCAGGGCAGAAAGAGTGCCATCAAGTGACAACGATTCGATACATCTATTCTGTGCGTAAGTCGAACCCGGTGAACTGCACCCCGTATGGCCGCAGCACACAGCCCCCTAAGACTATGAGTATTTGCGGATGGTAGGGCAAAACCTAAATAGCGCACGGCCAATTGTGGTTCTGACTGGCCACAGAGAAGCGGGACGCTAGAAGAGGGGGAATCTCGCTTCCAGTACCAGTTCGACGTCGGTTCGCCAAGACCGGAACCTCGGTCCGCAGCTCCGTCGTGGCAATCAGCGAAACCTTTGAGCCCCTTACATATCCCACCTAAGCTAAGCATTGTCCCTAAAAGGTTTAGCGGTCGACACAACGCTGCTTCGTAAAAGAGCATTTGACATACCGCACGAACCTTTCCTCCTCGCGGTTGCAGAATAAGCAACTCGCACCAACTCTACTGACGCTCGTTGTAAGTGTTCGTGCTAGACCCTGTACGAGACCTCGTACTCGGTTTGACAAAGAGGCAGGGACAGCTAAAGCTAAAGCTGGCCCTCAATCAACCGATTTGAGGATAGACAAGGGTCACCCAACTCGAATTAAACCATCCGTACTAGACAGTTCCATGGATCCCGCGTAGCCTTATCCAAGGAGGAAACTGAGTAACGCTCTGTGCTGCTACTCAAGGCGAGCGTATCTGAGACATAACTACGGAATCCAGATGCGAAATGCCGAGACAATCTCAAAGCCCGACCTTTCCTGACCTAACCCCGAATGTCAGCCACGCCAATCGTTTGATACCTTGACACACAATGGATCAGAACCGGGTAGCGTGCAGGTCCGGACTGTGCTGAATGTTGAATGCAGCAAGAGATGCAGTGTAATAAGGCAACGAGTCATGACAGTCTCGGTCTTGGCCGGTATATCCAGCCTTTCATTCATCAGCCCTTGTCTAGACATCAGGAGGTCAACCTACGCTAAGTGAGACTAAGCCCTGCTGGCTTCAGCGACCTCGGAAGCCATGGTTGAGCTCTGAAGTGGTAGCAGCCGTTCACTGCATCTTCTTTTCTACATCAAGGCGTGGAGACCAACGGAGCAGGCTGTTTTACCCTGTCATTGGCAGGATCGGAACAGCTTCACAGATCTTCTGTCCACTTACTGTATGACAGTGTGTATGCGCTTATGAGCTTACATGATACGTCCGCAATAAACCAGAACTTCAACTTGTTGCTGCTGTTTGGAAAATCAATTGAAGATGAGCAAGCAACGGCTAGGTCACAACTAAGGACCGTTAAGCTGTCACCCTGTAGTCACTCCAACGGTTTCGCGGATAAACGCCTACTCTAACCATGTGCTTCAATAGAGCGATCTAGTCCGGTCTGGACAGTCGATCTCTTAGCACAGTGCCACAAGTCGAAACACCATCAGTAAAGCCAATTTGTCATCATGATCTAGGTGTAGCCGGTCCTGAATTCCACTTCAGATCTAGGCCGTGAATCCCTGGACAGTCGCAAGAAGACGGAAGTCTAAACTGATGGGATCTCTCCACCCACAGTGGTTATGCTACCAACTCCAAGTAGCTATCGAAAACGTGGCGCTCCGTGCTTAGATGCACTCCTTTTGTTCAGCTCGTTCCTCTCTCTTAGCTTCTAACTTACCTTTCCCAAACTACGTTCTTGGCCATAACATGAGCTGAGTTCATACTGCGGCTTCTAGCTATCAACAGTCTCTCATATCTTAAATACTCTGATCGTCCTGCTCAAGCTGTCAGTTCGCTCGACTCTTCCTTCACCTCTTCTCAGGAAGTTGGACGCGTCTTCATCATGCGTTTTTACTTGATTATATTACTTGCAGTCCTTTGCTTTTGTCACAAGTCATTTGGTACCACGTTGACAACGCTGCCTTCTCGTACGACTTCAATAGTGAAGCCTTCTACGTCTTCGAAACTATCCTCAATCCTGTCTTCGAAGTCATCCTCAACCCTGTCTTCGAAGTCATCCTCAACCCTGTCTTCGAAGTCATCCTCAACCCTGTCTTCGAAGTCATCCTCAACCCTGTCTTCGAAGCCATACTCAACGATTTCCTCCACCAATAAAGCTTCACTTTCCTCGACAACTAGCTCAGGGACGCCCTCCACTACAATATCTACTACAAGAGCTCCTCTTCCTGTCTCGACTTTAGATGACTATTCGATCTTGACATCCGCTCAGAAACAGCAGATCGCATACGATGTTTCGATCAATTTCGCGACACAACTGGCGTTGTGGGATTTCCAGGCTTGCGTCAAGAACAATCCAGGCTCTTACTCTTGTGCTTTGACATACTCGCAACGAAATTTGCATGATATTTCTTGGGAGATCAGGCCATTGGGTAATTACGACACGTTTGCGTATGATCTATATACAGGCTCGGAGTATTACGGACTGCAAACCACTCATCTGTTGGATGCAGACTTCGTCTCTTCCGTGGTCAACGCGCTCCTCATGGGATGCTTAGGAAACATCACCTGCCAGAACGAGTACGCAAACCGCCCCGTGGTCTACACCCGTATCGTTACTGACTTGGTGAACCATAACATCGGTCTGGTGGTTCCAGAGCTCTCCAACAAAACCTGGATCCCGAGTGGTGGCAATGCTAAGTATCTAAAGCGGTTCGCAAACTTCCCTGACTACAAACAAAAATTATTTGGTATACATGCGGCCATCCCTCTTGCAATCCTTGGTGGCTATCTTGATAATACGGCGTTTGGTACCCTTCTACAAATGGATAGGATCATGTCTGGCCAACCGAAGGTAATCGAGGACTCCATTAATACGATTGCCTTGCTGGGTCTTCGAGTACCTTCTTGGAACAATATCAACAACTCAGTCCTAAGCGATATATATGGAATAGACGGCTCTGTTCTCGAAAAGCGCGTGGAGGTGGATTGGTTCAAAGTCGATCCTGCAGAGTTCTTAAATCAAATGGAGTCAAGTAAGGAGATGGCAAAGCGTGACGGCGCGCTGGACGATATTAAGGCTGTCTGTGCCGGCATCGGTCTCGCGACAAATTTCATGTCAATTCGCGGTATCCTTAAGACCCTCTCGTCGCCACTAAAGGGTCGTGCTAGCATTGCAACATTCAACAATGCTTTCGGAGCTTACGATTCGTCAGAAAACCTCGTACTGGGCACTGTCACTAACGTCTGTTCGCAACCGAGATCGTCTTGTTATGGCGGGCCACGTTTTTGGCAATACGCAAGCGTCGCAGGCGATGCGGTGGACATCATTGCTGGATACATAGGCTTGGCGGCGGCTGCAACCGCGCTTGTCGGCTCCTCTGGTGTTGCGGCCGCTGTCGGCGGCGCAGAGTTTGCTCTCAACACGCTCAACTTTGCGTGCGGTCTAGCCATCTTTGCTACTGACGTGGCGCGGGCAATCATGACAGACTGCCAGAACGAACCTTCATTGCCGGAATGCACGTCCCTCGCGAATGGCTGTTTGAACGCCGGATCTATCAGAAACGTGTTTGGAGTACAATAGATCGATTCTTATCTTGCATAGTCGCACCCAATCTGACCGCGAAACTGGGGAGAGAAAAGATAAAACTTTCGCCTGTCAATACTGTCTGTGGAAGCTGGAATGACAAGATCAAGCAGGGGCACCTAGATGGTAATGGTACATCGGGATTCCAGCAGATGAACTGCAGTCGGTGTAGCGCGTATCAGAACGCCCAGGTTGGAAGCAGGGCAGCAAAGAAAACAGTTTAACCCAACCAGGTCTCCTGATGCTGGTTAGAACAACGAGCTGAAAGCGATAAAGATGTACACCGCCATCAACGGGATCCCCTCGGGTAATGACTTTTTCCCTTTTGAATGGGATGTTTGACCAAAAACACAGCGATGAGGAGCACAGCGACCTCGAAGCCGTCGAAGTCCAGAGTCATGGGGTCGCTGCCAAAACCAGCTGATAACGACCTTGAGAGGGAGAACAAGAAGGGCAATTCGCATACTTGAGCCAATGGCGACGCCAATTGCAAGAGCCATCTTGTCCTTGATCGCGATAGTGACCGCCATTGCATGTTCCGTATATCAGATTAGCTTCTTCGTAGCCTCTCATAAGCGCGTGATCCAACTTACCAGTAGCGCATCCCACGATGGGCACCCGCATAAGACCAACGAACCCTACGGAGATGCGACCGTGTTCAACGATGTAATCAATACTACCGACCACGAACTCAGAGGTGACGGCGACGAAGACTATCGCAATAGTCAAGATGGTAAGAGCACTAATGACAGACGGCACACTCGACTCTCCCTTCTCGTCCTCTTCATAAACGAAGTTGAACTGATTGACTTGGCCCCCAAGTGGAGCAGCTGGACCGGCACTGATGCGAGCTCCACCAGCAGGATTGTTGCCGAAACTCTGGACAGCGGCAGGTATGATTAATGAGCCGATCGAGACAGCAAGCATGCTAGAGGCTGCTTGGGTAACAGTGACGTTAAACGTGTCGGATGGCGCGATTCATGCCACCAAAGAATGAACACATGCCCGGGACTAGGAGTAAATTGGACAGCATGGTACCGATCAAAGAAGTTTGGAAGTTGAAGATCTTATGCTGTGCCAGAGCGATTATACTGACGATCAATGCGGTGGCATTACCAAAACTCGCATTGAGAAGACCTCCTAAGGTCTCACCAGTGTACAAAGCAAGCTCTTCGGTTGCAAAAGACAGCATGACGGCAAGAGGGATGATGGTAAGGAAGTTGACGATAAAGACGGCATAGCCGTTGGCGTGGGTGTACCGAAGAGCGAAACCGACAGGAACACAGACGAGAAGGACGTTGACCTATGAGCCGAGGAGAGTGGCCTTGAACTGGCTGATGATACCAAACTTCGACCGTCTCTTCTCATTGATGTCACGAGTCTCAGATTGTTGAAGGTCAGTGTAGTCCTTCTTGGTACGATCAGGTGCGCCGAGCAGATTCAATGAGGGTCAGGGGCTTGCGTGGTTTGTGCTCAGGCTCTGTAACGTTCTTTTCTGATATGGACCGAGAATATTGACTTCTCTCTGGACGTTTTGATATTGGACTGGCCGACAAGGGTTCTATTGGATGAGGGCGTATCGAAGGAGGTGCTGGACCCTGGCGGCTCTTTGTTAGCTTGGTGGGGACAGGCAAAGTCGGCACAATCCAAATTGCACGCATCTTTGCGCCTGATACTGCTATCTGACAGGGATTGGTCTGCAGTATGGCGGCGCTGCAGTTTGTTCTGCTCGAGTTCTGATTGGCCAACATGATGCTGAGAGCGTCTGGTCGAAGGTTTGGAGTTGAGTTTACGGTCGGCTCGTCCCCAAGCGACGTCTCGGGCCTCATGCTTGATTGAATCTCCAAAAAATATGTCAGTGATGTGGGACTTGATAAGATAGACAAGAATCTGGACTTACGCATTGCAGATGCTGGGTCGAAGAAGCGACCGAGAATCCAAGTATTGGGATAGGGGTCACTGAGGGCAGTGAAAGCAGCAAATATAGGCGAGAGAAGGATTGATGAGGTAGTCGGACTCGTATAGTGGTTGGAAGGACGGCCTTGTGTCTGAATCGTAGAGTAACGTTAGTATTCGAAGCTTGAAAGTCAGGACCCAAAGTGTGGCCTGAAGCTAGCGAATTGACACCATCCGAACGTCAGACACCACCAAGAGAGGGCTAATCTTGTGTGACTGATTGTCGCGTGTACTGGGAGTCATGAGGCACTCATCGATACAATGAGCATGACTATGGCCTATGCGAAGCTGAACAAACAAAGGATCGCTTGGAGCATAGATACATACAGAGGTTCTAGAGCATATCTAGCGTGTCTGGGCAGATGAAAGAGAGAAGAGAAAGGTCGAGCGCAGATATAATCTCCCTACGCTGATGCCAGTGCAATCGAGCTAGCTCTGGGGACTCATTTGCTGCCGGACTTGCTTCTTGCATCGCAGTCGCATGTCTTGACGTGCCCAATCATGGCCGACTTGCTCGAGTGTGGCTACGCTGGCAAAGCATTGAGACTGTGTTGATGTGCTGCGAGTATGATGGCAAGCGCTGTTGCAGAACCACACAATGAGAGGGCGCTTAAGCAAGGTAAACACTTTGACGCTGACACCGGGGAAGAAGAGCACGCCGAGACTCATACATGGTAGATCACGATCCACAGGAAGCAGAACACGTTCTCTCTGTGACCAGACAGCAGTGCTACGCCATGAGTAGTAGCATCTTTTGGGAATTTCCGTATAGGGTCGAGGACTCTAGAAGCTTGTGGCAAGCGTTGTGTTCTCATCAAAGGCTTCAGATTACAAGCATATCATAAGCCCTTTCGTGGTCATTATCCAATGGGATTCCCATGCATCTCTCACACTCCCACGTATAAGATTCCGTGTCCTCTTGGATTCCGAAACTCGAAAGTACGTTTCATAGTGCGTTGTCTTTGACGTGCTTCTAGCCACTCTCTGGGCTACAGTACGGGATCAGCACCTGTTGGAGACCCTGGACCAAACTGCGACACTCCTTATCAAGGTTTCATCAACTGTGTTTGTTCTCGTCATGGTCGGATCCCTCTTACTATCCTTGGCCCTAGGCACGGCTAAGAACCTCTCGCATATGATGCGCAGAGTCCTTAGGGATGATAGTCGTCGTCACATTGTTGACAGAGATCTTTCACGAATGCATGCAAATGCAAATGCAAACATTGCCCTTGACCTCGAATCATGTCAAATCTGGATTACCTTACGATTATCCCGTCTACTGATGGGCATTGTGCTGACTGAATGCACTTTTTACGACGACTGGATCTGCGTGTGGACTCTTGCGGAGTAAAGCTACTCCCCGAGATCTCATAACTTGGCTTGTCTCTTGCAAGAACTGTCTGCAGACAATCTATATGGTTACACTCACAACTTGCACTCCAGAAGTGGCGACTGACAAAGGGTCAAGACGAGTCAGATGGAGTCAAACTGAGTCACATTGAGTGTATATAGATTGAAGGCTTGAGCCAATATCAGATCATGATGGAACATTCGTATTGCTGTGTTATTGTCACAGCGATTTTCTGCACGCCGACCCTTGCAACTAATTCTTGTCTGTGACACTTGGGATCTTACCCCGTTTCACTTAAGGGTCACGACCGGACAAATGCTGAGCTGTGATAGCAAAGAACGAAGAAAGAGGAAGCTTGTTGTGCCAGTGTTCATTGAGGGCTTGAGCACGGGTTCTTTTACTTGACTTGCCCTTATCGGCTTGTGAGAGTGTCTGTTGTCGGATGCGGGCTTGTCACAGCATATCTCACAGACTTTGACATGTTCACACCGTAGCTTCACACAGTCGTGAGATGGACACCTCTTTCTTTCCTGTCGGACAATAATATTACGGGTACAGATCTCTTGGTGCTAGTCATATTCTTGACCCTTAGCCCACGTCTTTTCTGGTCAGGCTTACTTCTCCCAATGACTAGTTCATGGGTGATGAGAGTGGTAAGACGAGCAAGACCGCTGCCAATCGCGTCTTATGCTTGATACAGTGCTTTCGGCTACGCAAAGATGCAGAATGAGCAAACATTTACGCCGCATTTGTAACATTTCGAGCTCCATTAACGCGATGATCAACAGCACAAAATCGAATATCGAGATTTGAGGACTCAGTGTAGCTTGGGCTTTTGGTTCTTACGCAACTCGTGGTCAGCAATTTCAACCCTGCCTCTATCCAGTACACCGGGCCTCGACTTGGTGCGAAAAGATGGCAAAGAGATGAAGGGCAGACAACTTGGTCAGATTGGTGCAGTAGACGCTGTCGAGCGCGAGTGGGTATTCTTGGGTCATGACTATCTACCAAGGAGGATCGCGGCGATCCCTCGAGACATGAAAATCAACCTCTGTAACAAAACGTGGTCACTCCAAGTATGGACTAGCAGCAATTACGGCTCAGATTGCCGCGCGCTAAATACGAGTAATGCGGGAACGAAGATAGGAAGACATGACAGGGACGATCGGCGTGGAGTGAGGATTGCGCAGACCCTGCGGAGTACCGGAAGTATGTGAGTGACTTTGAACATGCGGCTCCCATGCCGCTTTGGCACGTGGCCGAGTGGTGTGATACGCTGGCTTCCAACCTCATGGCATACCACTTATCAAGCCTCTGTATGGAGGAACAGTGTGATACACACCTTGTAGATGATGAAGAGGGCAAACGCAGGGACTCTTCGATCATCAGTCGCCCGTGCGCTTTTCTTGGAGAAGCAATGATGATATTTGTCTGAGTTTGGATGCCCTGGTTCTACTTATCGCACAAGACTCTAATGGTCAAGGGATCCTCCGGTGATTGGTCTGGATCTTCGTGAACGATGCATCCCTAGATACACAAATCTCGTGTTCCCCGGGGATCTGTGAAATGTGAGATGACCAGGCTCTCACGGCTTGTTCCCACGGCTGCTGGGCAGGTCCGTCGGGCTGGACCTCTCGACTCGTCTCCCGATCTGCCTCCTGGCCCACAGGGCTCTCAATCACAAATCGAAGACTGACTTTCATCGAGCTCGGCTTGTTCTTGAGGCTCGACACGAGTGCGTTCTGCCTGCCTCGTTCCTGCGTTTGGCACAGGGCGTCGCACATGTAGGTGATCGGGTCATCGGCGGTCCCTGTGCCCGTCGGTGATGCGGTCCTTGTGCTTCCTGCCTCGACCAATAGAGGTTGCTGAGGGCTGCCAGACGAGTCTGTCGAGTCACTCATAGGTGGAGCTTGGTTCACTACTTGACCGTACATTCCCGGCATCTGGTAAGACGTGAGGTCGGTGGTAAGCCCTGTGTCAAGGTCTACACCATAAGCCGGAGGCCATGGCCCACCTTGGACACCTCCTTGGCCATAGTGGAAGAGCGACTGCCACGTATAGTGGTACGGAGACTGATAAGAATACTGGTTGATCGGAAGATTCTGGAAGGTTGACTGTGAATACAAGTTGGAAGCGCAGGAGTATTGATCGAGCATGGAGTCGGGATTGGGTAGCGAGTATTGCGGGTAGAAGGACTGAGGATTGCCCCACAACATCATTTGAGGAAGACTGTCGGAGTGTCTTTGGTCGTAAGAGTAAACGTCCGAAAAGTTGACTATCTCGTTGGTCAGCGAGTGGCGTAGTCCTAGATGTGGCAATCGAGGCAAGGTATGGGAGTCTCATACTAGTACTAGTCATTGTTGCGTATCTGGATTGAAGCTCACAGTTGCATGAGAAGGTTGTGATGCCGGTGGGCACAGTCTCAAGTGTCCCTCGAGCTCTATATACCCAACACACTCAAGGAGACACCCAGCCCACCTCTCGCATCCCGTGGCACAGACACATGGGCAAGCAGATAGAGCATTGCACATACGCCAACGGCACGAGGATCCGTTGCGGTCTCATCAAGTGCAAACCCCCATTGACACATTGCCTCCACGCCGCGCCAATTGAGGAGATGCAGGTTTCGATGCCTGGTCCGCAATATACCAACACTACACACAGACCTTGATAAGGCGTGGATGTGCACTCGACTACCAATCAATAGCATCGGAGTCCAACACAGTCCCGGTGTTGTGGTTGGAGCCCACGAGTTAGTGGATGCCAAAGCAATAGCGCGTCTTCATCATCCAGCGTCCAGAAGAGTCACGAACGAATGGTTCCCGACAAGGCATGGTCGATCAGCACAGCGAGTCATCCCGAGTCGAGGCCCTTGTATCAGACTGGGCAAAATCAAGCATGATCACGGTCGCCGGCGACTGAGAGTGTGGCGAACGAGACCAACTCTCAGAGATCACGAGAGGTACTGGTCAAGAGATAGGAAAAGGAAAACGACAAGGCGTCGAACCTGAACGGAAGGGAGGGCTAAGACGGCGAGGGAGCAGCTACGTTGATGGCGTTCCGATCGGCCATCAGAAGTCCCAACCTGACGCTCTCCAGCCCCGGGGTTCGACTCATTACAGAGGCATGCATGGCCCTGTTCCTGGAAAATTGCTCCCTCCGCTGGCCGTCACGTCGACTGTCGTTTCGATTTCTGGCATCGGTCGTACCGGACAAAGAAAGAGCTGTGACCAACTCTGACTGGATCGAACGCCCGACACGGAGTGGCAAGACCGCCAAGAGAGGCTGTGAGATCATCATATTCTTGGTTGACAGAGGCACAGAACAACAAGTCCTACCAGAGTCCGGAGATGAGTACGTGCTATAGCCATTGCGCTCGGACCGGCTGGAAGAAGTGAGATCGGCGCGTGCAACTTGGTCCGAAAGCACGCAAGACAGGTTGCAGTGCCAAACAAGAAACGCAAGCTCACTATCCACGACTCGGCGCCGGTCGTTGGCCGAGAGTCGAGATGAAGCGTGAGCTATCCATCTATTCATCCATTCATCCTGCGGGGGGCGTTGCTCTCTCTCTCTCTCTCTCTCTCTTGCCCGCTAGTTGTGCGCTCGGATCATTGCCGGGCCCTGTGTCTTTCTGGTTGCCTCGAGAAGAGTAGATCGCTACGACGGTCACTTCTCAATGAGCTTGCGATGGCCAAGATCGGCAGCGGAGTCGGTTTCAACTGCCCACTAGCTGCCGTCTCCATAGTCGTAGCGTCCACGTGCTCAGTTGTCCCTGCGGCTTTCCCGTCCTTGCCGCTGCGAGGCGGGCGTCAAACACCTGAGGGCCCTGAATCAGAGGCGCCGCCTGGCGAGTGGACCAACGCAACGCAACCTAAGGCCGAGAGCGCGAGATTAACACGTACGCAATTACAATCCTTCCGCTCCCACCAGCCTCCATCTCAATCCACAGGTGCTACAATCTACCAAGCTCTATCTCATCAACCACCGACCGCTAATCTATGTGGGCCAGCCGTCGAGGCCGGATCGTGCATTGCAGGCACGATTGTGTGCAGTCGCAGTGCGGCGCGAACACGTGGTGTAGACGAGCAATCAACCCCGCGCAGCAACGAGAGCCGATCTGCATCCGGAGAACAGGCACAATTGTCCTTTTCAGATACATCGACATCTCATTGCACAGTGTTGTCCGCACGAGCCTACCGAACAGTATGAGTGATGGCTTGTCTGTACAAGAGGTAATGAAT